TTTACTCACCTAAATAATCAACCACTCAATGAAAAATCCCACTTGCAGTTGTAAAAATCGAATCGGCACTATATGTTGCTATAATGCTTCTTTTAGTTTGACTGTAGCGATGCTTTCATTAATTGCAGCTCACAAATGAAAAAGAGCATGCCAGTATGCATTCACCTTATATATGTCATTTGCAGCTCGCAAATACAATAGAACATACAAATGACGTAAAGACATGACTTTGTAAAATAGAACGTTCTAGATAGATTGTACACATCATCTGTAGCTTGCAAATCGAATCGAACATTCTAGACTGAGTGTGTTTACGTCATTTGGAAAACGCACTGGAATGTTCTGGGTCCGGTTTCATAAAAACTTATTATCAATAACAAGTTACAATAGCTGTTATAAGCTACTGAAACCATAGCATTTGCTTGGCTGAAAGCAAATTTGTCATAATACTGAATACAAGTTTTATGAAACAGGGTCCTGTTCTATTCTCTCTCTCTCTCTCTCTCTCTCTCTCTCTATCTCTTGCTCTCTCCCTCCCTCTCTCTCTCTCTCTCTCTCTCTCTCTCTCTCTCGCTCTCTCCCTATGGAGATAGGTTCTCTATTTCTCTCAGGAAACAGGAAACAGGAAATAAGGCACTGTTCTTCTCATGTTTGGATTATTTTTACTGGTACTTTGTCTTATTTTGTGAGTGCACATTGACCTTCATCATGTTTCCCATATCTGTAAGGTTGGCCATGGCTACCTTTTGGATAATTTAGATCCTTGCATCAGTGTTTTTGACTAGTTTTACCATGGAAGTCAAACACCAACTGAATAGCCTTGTATACACGAGATTCTTGTTTTATTGGCATGAAACCTGGTTGAAAGAAAGTATTCCTGACAATGTTATTGATATATTCCACACTTTGATGTAGTAAGAACAGAACAGAACAGTCAGAGAAAAGCAAAGGAGGAAGCGTATGTCTATATATAAACCAAAAGTGGTGTAAAACTTGGAATGTCAAGGATGCCCATAAACTTGAATACATTTACTTGACAAACGACATCACTTAGTACATCACGCTATCAAGAAAATGACGATGCCCATGTCGTGCTGAGAAACTGTACATAATTGTTGCTTTATGTCTCTCTCATAATGGGCAAGAATATAATAAATCTCTTAGAATAAATAAAGTTATTTATTGGGGTGAGGTTTCCTTTTTATTAATTCATGTCAATACACATTTTGTGAAGAATTTAATCTACAATTTAGCAAATTAAAGTCTAAACTGCCATTCCTCCGACGAATGCTAGAAGCCTAATGAAAACGTTTGATGAATTACAAATTGAGCCAATTGAAACCAATTGAACACCAATTGAAATTTCAATTGGTTTCAATTGGTTTCAATTGGTCTCAATAGGTTTTAACAGGTTTCAATGGGACCTCAGATGTTTTCAATTGGTCCAGATTGGCCCCATTGGCCCATTGGCCTAGGCCCCATTATACTTTAATGGGTCCCCAATTGGTTTCAATTGGTCCGGATTGGCCCCATTGGACAAATTGGCCCCATTGGCCCCATTGGCCTAGGCCTCGACATTGCTATGATTGAAACTTGGTTCTACTCTTCTACAAATATTGAAACGTATTATGTAAACGGATATTCTCGTTTCTAAAATATATCCCTTCATGCTCTGGTTCATAACATTACGAGCCAGAGCAATATAACACTGAGATCCCATATGGGATCTCAGTGTTATATTGCTCAATCTTTTTATTCAGATGGTCATATCTCAGCCAATACTTAACATATTCAATTGATTTTCGACATTCCAACATTATTTTTGATGCTCTTTTTGAAAATGAAGAAAAAATTGACAAATTTCAAAAATAGATTTTATGTCACAGCTTCGGTACTCTATATTCCTAAGGAATAACTAACATCATGTAGAGCATCTTTGTCTCTACACAATCTCATGTATGCTATTTGTGACCACAAGCCTACTCTACGATATATAACTTTGTTCAGTTGATAAAAACAAGGCTGGTCATTGTATGTGTCAAAATTACAAGCATAGTCAATTCAATTATTAACCATTATGCGCTGTTTCATGTGTCAGTACTTACGTTTAGACTGAGGGGTGGCCATCTGTTCACCGTCACCATGCCAGAACAAGGAGAATTGATATCTTGTCCTGGGTCCATGAAGTCATCATCCAACTCCTCAAGACCGATGCTACAAGATAACATTATCCAATGGAAAACACAGTCAATATAATATCATTGAAAAACAGGAAAATATATACTGCATTTTGAAAAAATGGGTATAAAGTTTACCATCACAAATTATCATTAAACTTCTCAAGAGCAGTGGTCTCATAGCTGGAAGGTCCCATGTAAGGTTTGAAACCAAGTTAGTACACATGTGATTTTTCATTTAAGAGTATGAACAATATCATTTTTATCAGTTCTCATCTGAAATAGCAAAATACTATTTAGGGCCTCAGATTTTGACCAATTTTAGTTTGATTCATACAATGTAAGATGGGTTGTGTATTAAATGAATCTTCCACTGTTCAAACATAGTTTATTTCAGTTCTTATAACTAAGGCAAAATCAGTACACTTACCGGTATGTCCAATTATCTACTTCCATTTGTCTATTGGTTTGTTCCATCTGTCTCATGGTTGATGATTTCATTCATAAACTTCCCTGAATTCTCAGTTATACCTTTTTTTTGCATCTCAATTCTGTATAGTACCTTTCTGCATTCTAAACACTGAAAATTATACTTTTGTATGTTGTTGCAATATTTATTTAAAGAGACAAAATACAAATTTTACTAAAACTGTAATTGATTTCAGTCTTATCCATAGCAATTTATTGTACAAGAAAAATGTCCATGAACACATCATTAAGGACTAGTTTATTTAAATAACACAAATATTTACAAATAAAGATTGGCAAATACACATATACGCTTCATTTCTACAGATACAATTTCATTCTTAGTTTGGGCACCCTCCATCATGAATTAGAACAAATTGTAAATTTCATCTTTAATACAATAAGGCTCTTTAAATTACAATTATAACATACACTTGAAATACATGTACCGTAATTAACGGTGTATAAACCACCCTCGTGTATTAACTGCACCCCTCTTTTTCGCCCTAAAAAAAAAAACGACTTTGAATTTTTTTTGGCGGCAAAAAGGTGCGGTTTATACACCGTTAATTACGGAAAGAAGTAAATATGAGAAGATAGATTTTTTGATGTAGCATTGTTCTGATAAATAAAACATGGACATGGAATAAAACAAACGAGAAGTAATAAGCACAATTCAATATAGAAATCTCACACATGTGTATATCGCATTCTGCCACATTACATGAATTTCATACATGTATTGACAAATTGAAGGTGTTGATGAAATACTGATATTCTGGACAATTTTGAAATATGTAATGGAAAACATGTATTGGGAAGTAATTGGAATGTCTCAAAATCATACAAAACAAAATTATAAGCACCATTAAACCCTTGCATATCATTAACAATACTAATCAGTTTCATCTGCCAAAATTTAAGGCACGTCACAAAACGGCTGTTAACTTTTCAACAACGTATAATACATTTGGAAAAGGTGCTTTTATGAAAAATCAATATACATGTACTTAAAGAATCAACACTAAAGACCTTTCTTAAATGTTAATAGTAATCAACTATTTTTAAAAACATGAAAAGAAAAGAAAAATATATAATACTTAACTTTACTTCATAATTTACTTAACTTCACCTAGGATAATAGAGTGGTGAAGTGTGACGTCATCAAAAAACTATTTTTAGAATTTCTCAATTTGAACTTTATTTTCCAAAAAAACATACAAAATAATATCCAAATGTCAAAAACCAATTGAATATGTTAAGTATTGGCTGAGATATGACCATCTAAATAAATAGATTTCCTATAGGAACTCAGTGTTATTTTGCTCTGGTTCATAACATTACGAAAATTGAGAAATTCTCAAAATAAATTTTTATAATGTCACACCTTCGGTGCTCTATAACATCCAAAGTCCTTTGGGAGTAGATAAAGATGTTATATCAAAATGTGATATGTGCTATACAAGAACATCATGCATGTATTATTATTATGATTTGACTTTGGGGGTGCGTAACTGGACAAGGTTGACAATAATGAGCATGCCTATACATTCTGATCACTCTGAAAACATAAGTCTGTAGCACCTGTTCATATCCAATGAATTATTACTCCAGATAAGAAAGATGCTTGTAATTTGTTTCAGCCTTTTCTACTAAGCTTACACATCGTATTCTCTCTACATGCAACTTTCATCTTTAGCTTTTTTAAACCCTCAAGTTGTTAATATTGTGGAAAACGTACTAAATGGCTGGAGTTATAATGGGGGGAAAAGTCTCTACAGTGCATTACAAAATTAAGAAATGAGTACATTAAAAGGCTGTACCCAAATATACATCTGATTCACAATATCTAGTCTTTTATCAAATACATGAAGCAAATATAATGGTTGAAAAATTATCTACATATTTCAATACATTTCAAAATCAAATGATATATACAAATAAATTATGATAAAATTCATGACATGTCTCAACATACACATTTTTTCCTTTTTAAATATTTTCATTAGATGAATCGCCGATTGGACGGACAAATTGGAAATGCTATGAAGAGCAGATCATATGATGAAAATCAATTTGGAATGTGATTAAATATGGATAATGCAACACATTTAACATTACTATAATCTTAACATGTTTCCATAGAATACACAATAGTCATGACATTTCAGTACTTGTATCTTTGCTTTAAGGAGCATTTATATTTATCACATTGAAAACTCATTTGTGATGATTGTGACGAAGGTGATAATAGTGATAATGACAATTATGATTGATGAAGATGATAATGGTTATGATGTTGACGATGAAGACAACCATGTAAAGTGCCACTGATTGGCCCAGGTTTTCTATCTATTCTGAAAGTTCATCAGTTTGGCTCAAAGACATTTAATGTGAATCATAATTCATTTTGATCTAGAATTTTGCATTCAGTAGCTTTTCCAACATCAATTCTAATTGGGAAGGTACAGATATTCATTTGATAATTTCTCAATGCTTGTTAATATCTTACTCTGCTATGAATTTCAAATCCAACCCAAATCATGCGTCAGAGCTACAAACCAATAACCATTATCAAATTAATCAATCAAGGTTTCTGGCTAAATCTTTACAATTTAAAACTTAACCCAATTTCCTCACTCCATCTTATAACGCCATCAGGTAGAGTATGATGAGAAATCCAAGTTTCTTTACAAACTGGCAAGGTAAATGACCAATTAAATAATCCTTATCCATTACAATAATATTAAGGCAATCAGAAATATACTTGTGTAACATTGAATATATCTGTATCATCAACAAAATACTATTTGAAAGAGAAGAAATACAACAGCTGAACAGGTTCCCTAATGATCAATACAGATTGGATGTTCTGTCATTATGTTCACTTCACCATCTACTAGACTTCAAAGATCATCACATACAGGTGAGGCTTGTGTGAGGGAGTAGAAGTGCAGATCTGCAGGTGTTATAAAGAGTAAGAAGACAAACTGTATTGATTACTTTTGTTTGAAATCATTTCATTCATGGTTGAAGGAAAAGCAATCTGATATAAAACCATAAACGGTAACTGTCTTGGAAGTTAAATTTTGCTCTTTGTTGCCTTGTTTACAATGTCTACTTGACAAAGGCAGCAAGAAAACACAGCATGAAATTCAATCTTTGCCAAATCATTTGTTTGAGATATTTTATTTGTTCCAACAGAACCTTCAATGAACCGATATCCTTGCATATTTCATCAATGGCAAAATATTATGTACAGGAACTTGTTTCATATTTAATCGTAGACCAGAAAGATTTCCAACATTCTCATTCAGTGAAATAATTGAATCACATTTGACAAACACTGAATTGTGCAGGTCGTAAAAATCAATCTTCTTTACAAATCATATAAAAGTTTTGTGTTTTACACTACTTCCTTACCTGGCATCACAAGAAGGGTTTTTATAATCCACTTCCACCTCTCTCTAGAGCTAGAGTGGAGGCATAAGCGGAATCCGACAGACCGATTGATTCTGAATGACTCTCTGTCATCTTACGTGATGATGGTGTACCGCTAGGTAGTGCTGCATGTTGGTATTGAGGGTAAGAATGAGATGACTCCATCTGATCAGAGAAACAAGACAATGTTTTATATTGTTATTGTGAGCTTCCTTATTATTCATACATCATTGATTTAACATAAAGCACATCATCAAAGATGCCAACCCTATAGGATGGCTGTCAGTAACATTAACCATATTTGTCCGTAACAAATGGGGGTCTTTCCGTAACGCAAGACCCACCGCAGCATAATTTTCGCGCAAAACACAAACACCCAATCACTCTTACTGCATATCGAACCTGTGCAAAGAAACGTTTTTAAAAATCTGTTTCCAGTCAAAGGATCTCCTCCTCCTGTACTCGCTCTTTTGAGTGAATCCATGATAATATTCAGGAAGAAAACACCTCGTTCAAGCGTTGAATGGCAAATTCGAATCCACAGTCAAATGGCAGAACTCGTATCCTACACACGCACACTCACCAGTACCACAGACACACCAGCCCAGGCCGCTAGGCCCGGCGTTCATGAACAACAACACACCGTATACCGCACTTGCAATGCGCCCGCTGAATCACCAAACTCTTCGCTACTATACTATGAATGGGTATTGCGGGCGCCGCACGCACGATCATCTACCCCCATGCTCCCCCAAAAGGCACGACCGCACGTAGCATACTAGTATCAAAACAGTAATAACGGCGGCCGTGTTGTTTTGGAATTAAACAAGATGGCGGCGGACGGACCATGTGCGCAAAAGTGCCTATCCAGTGTAGTCAAATTCAGTGAACTTATGAGTAAATGCGTGCGACATGCAGCGCTGTGTACGGAGGCTATGTTAAGGCGGCATTCGCTATAATGTACTTTTGTTTATCGTTTCCCCGTAACCTTTTGATTGTTTGCCGTAACCCGTAACAAGAGCATTAAAACCGTAACAAATACGGCGAAACCGTAACGGTTGGCATCTCTGCATCATGGCTATGGTTAAATGCAAGATATTGACTGCAATACATAATCAAAATGTAATAGATATCAAAGCTGTTCCAGAAATGACAAGAAAGTAAAAACAATACATATGACTGAGAGAGGTGTTTTTCTTACAAATCTTCTCTTGATATAGCTCAATCTCATATATTTTCTATTCATCTCCTCTTTCTTCCCTCTGTGAAGCTTTGTCAAGTCTCCTTATCTCTCAGCACTGTGATGCACATCAACCCTCTCTTTTTCTCTCTCTCTCTCTCTCTCTCTCTCTCTCACACACACACACACACACACCCACACACTGTCAATTACCATCAATATCTAGTTGTTTCTGATATATCCTCCCCTTTTACTGACCTGTGCATGTAGACTAGTGATAGTTTGATCCCTCCCATCTAGCTTCATATCAAGACGTTGTCTAGCTGCTCTCTCCCTCTCTAGCTCTGCTCTTTGTCTGATATTCTCTCTATTGAGGGAGTTTAGCTGCTGGTTTAACTGCTGGATAGAATCAACGTTTGCTTTCAGTCTTCCATGGAGATCCTCGATCGTACCCATCTTATCACAAAGCTCTTCTTCTTGAGTACTTCTGCAAGGGGAGGGGAGAATAGAAATAAAGAAAATGAAATCATTTGACAATGTACATGTCAAAGGAGAGAAAATCAGATTTGAGACAAAATAAAACATCTTCTGCAATAGACAGCAAACAATATGTTGTCTCATTCAGTTAAAAAATCTCATTCATCAGCAATCCTTTTTCATGTGCCTTAGCCAGAGCCCAACACTGATGATCACACATGCAATGAGTATAAATGTTTGTTAACTCTCCTAACCAAGATACTTCTAACTACTAATGTATGCTTTTCTACTTTACAATAGAGATTGAAACTGAACATTTTGTTTTACCAACAAAGAAGAAATGTGCATTTTGGAAGAAAAATCCACTAAGTGAAGGTCAACATTCTCCCACATAGCCACCCTAAAATGTTGTGCGAATGACACTCCTCCCTCTCTCCTTTCAATAATCTCCATGACTCTATGATTCAATGAAAGGTACGGTATGCAGTGTTTGACTCACTCATTATCCTCTAGCCTTGCTTTGAGTTGCTGCAGTAAGACTTGTTGATGAACAGACTGACTCTGTAAAGCTTTCATCCTCTCTGTAGCTATCTTCATCTCTTCATTCTCCAGTCTGAGACGATTCACCATCTCCTGCACAGAGCTTAGGCTCTCTGTTACGTGTCTAAAGGTCAAAGGTTATAATCAAAGCAATTGATATGCCCTTCTTCAATTCATAACAATAATTGTCAGAAATAGTTTGCACAATGAAGTGAACTATGTTTCTCTTCGCAATGCAATTTTAAAATTGTATACATATGCTCAAAAAATTTGAAAAAACCTTGTCCCTAAATCTTTAACGGGACATCAATTTAAGAATACTAAATCTCATCAACAATGTAATATGACATTGTAAGGAGTTGAAAGTTAAAAGCATAAGTCTAACTTCTATATTTAAGTACACAAAGTAGTTCTTCTTTTTTTCCTCAGTCAATTTCTCAGTTGAGACTTACTCTTTTTCTAATGTGAGGTTCCTAATAGTTTGGTTCTGCTCCTTGATCTTCAGTCCAAGTTTCTCATTGGCTTGTCTACAAAGAGAAAAATAAATACACACAATATTGAATTTGAAATAAAATACAAGTGGCAATTTTATGAGGGAAGAATACCTTTCAAATAACAACTGAATCTAATCATACTACTGTTTTTTTGTAATATGTCTTTTTTTCCAAAAAATTGTATACAAAAATAGCACCCAGTTCCCCCTCTGAAGCCCAAAGTTTAACACGCTTCCTGTATTGACACTGGATAGCATGTTGCCAGTATTATGGAGCCTTTCATTTTTGTTTCCACTTCTTTCATTGCCTCCAAATACTCGGTTCTCTTCCTCTTTATCTCTCTGTGAGAATGGATCTGAATGTATATGATTTTGTCTCTTCTATTTCCACATAGGCTGGCATACAAGGTAACTTACTTCTGTTCTTGTACCCATGTATTGACATTAGAGACTACATGTTCACTCTCCTTATGAAGCCGATCTCCATTCTTCCTAGCCTCATGAAGGGATGTTCTCAGCTGCTCATTCTCAAGCTTGGCCTCCTGGCATTTATGTTGTGCGTCTGATAACCCTCGCTGAATCCTGTCCATCTGGTTCAAAAACGTTTAAATATAACAGGGAGTTATAGTGAGTAAGAGAGATAAAGAGAGAGAGATAATGAAATCTTAATCATATCTTAATAAAAATCTATAACAACAAAGATTTGAGAGGGCTTAATCATCAATAATGAGATAATGCATCGTTTCTTTAAACTGTATCTTCCTATCAGATAAATTTCTTAGTGATGTTAACACATTATATATGTAAAATTTCATAATGCTTCTCTGAAATGACCCATCCAAAACCTATGTTCATTCTAGTGCATCTTTGTTGTGATAGAGGAATATTGCACTTCACTTCAAACCATGAAAGGTATAATCATTGAATTCTGACAAACATACTAATCCGGATATCTACTAGTGCGTCATAATTCTTATTAAGAGCAATAGCTACTCTTTAATAGCTAGAGGATGGATGGAGACAGCAGATGGAAGAAAAAAAGGGAAGAGTGAAGTAAGAGAAGCTTTGTCTAGATGACTCACTTCTTCTTTACGATGTCTAAACTTCTCCTGCATGGAGGCTAACTCCACCTTAAGCACCACAATCTGTTCCTCTCTCATAGCAATCTCCTGCAGACTAGCCCTATGCTTGTCATTAGCCTGGGTGTGCTTAGCACTCAGTTCCTGGTAGCGGCTCTCATACTTGTGTAGCTCCTCTTCACTCTGTCGGTTCAGCTCCTGTACCTTCTGAAGCTCAGAACGCAGCTTGCGCATTCGGTCCTCATAAACCTCAACCTACGCGATACAAACAATATAAAGTCTAGTGAGAAAGGATTTCAAATAATATTTGTGAGTTTCTCAATTGATATCAAAGTTTCAATGAAGCCTATTGAACCATTTGTATGTGTACACATAGGTTAAATGAATTGTTGATAATCTGAAGCTTTACAAAATCTTGAAGAGAGCTATTGCAAGAAAATATAATAAAATTATAATATGTGCTTCCTTGAGAATCATTTGTCATGATTATCACCACCACCACCACTGTCATCATAATAATCATCATCTTTCTAATCATAATTACCATCATCAGCAGCACTAGCATCAGCACCTGCAACAGCACTATGAATTTCATCATCATCCTCACCATCATCATCCCCAAAATCATATCCTTCATACCCTGATAAAAATATTGAACTGCCTATTTCGAAAAAAAATCATTCCCTACTTTTTTCCTTAATTGTCCTTACCTCCTTTGAGAATGAATGATTCTGTTGATCTGCCTTGGTAAGCTCTGATTGTAACTTAGCAGCCAGTGTAGCTCTCTCACCAAGCTGATCCATCGCTTCCTCATGTTGACCTTTGACATCCATCAGCTGATGTCTCACAACTTGCAACTGACCCTGACTCAACGCCAACTGGTTGGAGAAGGATGCAAATAAATGTCATGGCTTAACATACAGACAGTTGATTTAGTTTTGATACTAGAAATCCCATTCCATATGAGACAGATATATATTCCTCAATATGCTGTGATTCAGAACACCCCTCCTAACTTACTTTTTTCACATGTACACATGTATTCTTTAGCCAAAGTATACTTGAATTAAAAATAAGGATTTTTCTCAAATATCAAATTTAAAGCATTAGCTGCCAAAATGATGCTGATGTATGGGAACAAGAATCATTGAAAGTCATAATATGGAGATGGCAGCAGAAATGAGTTAAATTTCATGTGAAGTTTACATTTTGAAAGGAGGAGGCAAAGACAAACAGACAAAGCTTGATTTTCTATCCGCAGACAATAACGTAACACAGAGATCCCAAAAGTGAACCACCGCATTATTTCAAAATGCTCCCATTTACACAAATTATACCTAACTTACCTCTTCCTGGTATGTCTGTATTTGGTCCTTGGCTTGGTCCAGGTCTGTCTGAAGCTGAGCGATGGTCTCCTCGTAACGAGCTACCTCACCTGAATAGTGTCTGTTCTGTTTCTCAGCCATCTCTAGATTAGCCTGACACACTCTGAGCTGACTCTCCTGATTAGCTAGCTGATCTTTAGCTGTGTGGTGCTTGGCTTGAAGGGAGCTGATATCACCTTCTAGGTTCAGAGTGTGCTGGTCCTTCTCACTGATCTGTATATGGAGTTCATGGAAGAGAAAAGGTAAGAGTAAGAGAGGGAGAAAAGTAAAAGAGAAAGAGAGAGATAGAGAGAGAGAGAGAGAGAGAGAGAGAGAGAGAGAGAGAGAGGGGGGGGTGGTGAGGGATTTGCGACATACAAGTACACAGACAGAAAGTCTGATAAACATGTATGAACTGACAATTACAATTGTTGTCTTTCAGAGAGGCTACAGGTTGATATTGTCCACAGGAAATTCTCAATATGGAAATGAATGACATTATGCACAAGTTTGTGGAAACAAAAGCAGAAATAATAATAATGATTTCTAACCATTGTGTCCATCTCCTTGTGTCTCCTCTTCATCTCTCCTAGCTCCTCCTCCATCTGATCAAAGTTGATCCTGGTCTCCTGGAACTGCCTGGAGGTATCATCATAACGCTGCTGCTCCACCTCCAGCTCCTCCTGTTTACTCCTCAGTGCATTCTCCTTCTGGATCAACTAACATACAAATATGGAAACAAGAAAGGTCTCAATAACAATGAAAAGGGAATACAGATTGAGTGTATGACTGGGTGTGTCACTGGTTACAATCGAATAGAATGCAGAAACAGGGAACTGGTACGTCATAAGAATGCCTACATTGTCTATGCCTTATTCATACACATTGTATGGTATACATAAAATGTATCAACTATAAAATGTATGTTGGTTATCTATATAACAATGAGAGTTGTTACAAGAATCAAATAAAGGGTCTGGATTCATAACACAGTAAGGAATGTAATGTGATTGCCATTGTTTACCTCTGTTTGAAGACGCTTGTTGTTTTCATTAGAATCAATGAGCTGAGATTCAAATTGTTGATTAGCTCCTGTTTGTTTCATGAGATCTCTCTGGATATCTTCTATCTCTTCCATGGCTTGGTTCAATTCTTTCCTCAATCTGTATAGAATACATAGGAGTACATAGAGAGATTGACTTGTGAATCATATATTTAAAAGAGAAAAGAAGCATACAGTTTGTTTACCTACACATATGCATCTTTCATACCACACAAATATACATTTATTTGATCTAACTTACATTTCACAAGAGCCGCAATCCTGTTTTATGACTATTTGCAAAATGGCCAATGAAAGGAAACTTGCTGTCATGATGTCTGTATTATCTTAGTAAACCATATGCTGACTCTGTGCAAGAATGGTGAGTTAAGACCTTTAATCTCTCAGCAAACAAAAGCTTCATTCTTTCCCTCTTTCTCATTCTTTTCTATTTTTATAATGCCTAATTTATTCAATAAGAACACACTTATTTAGCACCACATCCTTAAAATCTCTCTCTTCAGCTGATCAAATGGACAAAGCCCTCTTACCTTTCAGCCATTGTCCTCTGCTCTACAGCCTCATCTTCCATCATCCCACACCGGTCCTGAACGGATCTCAGCTCAGATTGAAGACGTCTGGTGAGCTGTTCATAACGTACTACCTCAGTCACACGTCCACTTAGCTGCTCCTGGGTAGACTGAAGGCTACTCTCCATGATCATTAGTTTCTCCTCATGGTGAGCCAACTAAAAGAAAAGATAGATTTGGGAGGTCAAAATGTATTGTGCAGTTGGAACATGCAATATACTTCCCAATGCCTGGTGGTAGTTATTTTTATTATTTGTTGTTAAAGAAAAAGAGAAAGTCAGAAATACTGAAAAATAATGGATATCATCCACCATGTACACAGTTAACAATTGCAATGGACAATTACATAACCAAATAGAGCATTAATAAGGTACTACAATCTGAAAATTATTATCATTTAACAATTAATCAACAATATATATATACAAGACTTTCCTACACAGTAATATATTCTTATCACAACTATATTTAGAACTAGCAAAGAGAGTTTCCCCAAAGCAGGCACAGAAAATAAAGTGTTTTTATATCAGCTGATATATGGGTGATAAGATTGTACAAACACTGAAGGTCTTGATGGCAATTGAACATACCTCCTGAGCACAGTCCTTGTAGTTCTCTCTTGTATCTCCTAGCTCATCTTTGAGTGAAGTATGTTCTCCAATCAGCTGAGCTTTTTCTTTCTCAAGTCTCATGTTGGCAGCTTCAACCTTCTTAATCTCCTCACTGAGAATACGCAGTCTCTTCTGAAGATCATCCAACTGGGAAAATAAATAAATGTGATAGCCAACTTAGTTCCAACCTGACTGTCAGAATACAGAATATGAAACCCTAAATACACTAAATATACATTTTTTATAAAATAAAATAGCTTGAAACTAGAGTTTAAAAGCCTAACAGGCATAATCTCAAGACATACAACAGGAGTGATTGGTCAACTTGACTCTTATTCACAAAGCTATGGATTTTAATCCCAGTCAAATGAATACTTCCTCAGTCAAGTTTTGACAACTGTGCATGCTTCATGTTGGCTGCTATCATATAACTCAATTTCTTTGGCTTCATGGCTAATAGATCAAACTTTTGAATTTCTGCATATCAAAAAGGATATCAAATAATTAAGTATGAATGAGTATGACATGACAGAAGGACAAATTGATATAGAAACACAACTTTCATTTCTCATAATTCCATTCTTCTACTTTGTTACAAACTGACCTCTTGACTCCTTCTCTTGACAGTCTCTCTGTTGGAATGCAGCTCATTTTCTGACTTCTTCACTGTCTCCTTCTTTCTCTTGAGATCCTCCTGGAGCGTCTTGATAGCTTTCTTAGCCTCCTTCAGCTCCTGCTCCAGTTTGTGAGTGAACTCCTCTAGTTTGGACTCCTGCAGACAGAATGGAAACATCCATCATCACTCATACAACCTCTATTCATAACAGCTATGTGTTGGTGGTTACAATAATGACAATTTCATCATTGGTGCAATATCTGAACCCATATTAAGAAGGTGTTCTCACTAAAATTCTAATATGTTCCAAATATTATACAAAACAAAATCAAGGGGAGAAAAGCAGTTACCTAGATTAAGCCAATATTAATAGTTGTGATCTGCATATGCACAGAAAATACACAATCTCTAACAAACTTCAATGAACTAGATGGAACTTCGACTGCGCGCAGTCGAAAATGATGCCTCCGTCATAGAGCAAGTTTACAAACCAAAAAGCAATTTCTCATATACATATATGACCCTTTGATCTTTGACCTCATGACCCTAAAATGTACTCAGTTCATTGGCTCTGCAAGATGTCCTGAGTTAAATAGTAATCCATCTGTCAGTTCTAATGAGAATGCGTTCACAAGCTATTTTTGCATACATGAGCCCATGACATTTGACCTTTGACCTCATGACCCAAGAATCTACTCAGTTCATTGGCTCTGCAAGATACATCCCATGATCTAAGTTTGGCAGGAATCCATCAATCTGTTCTAATGATAATGCGATCACAAGCTATTTTTTGCATACATAATGAGCCCTGTGACCTTTGACCTTTGACCTCGTGACCCCAAAATCTAATCAGTTCATCGGCTCTGCAAGTAACATACATGACCAAAGTTTGGCAGGAATCCATCAATCGGTTCTTGAGATAACGCGATCACGAGCTGTTTTTGCATACATAATGAGCCCTGTGACCTTTGACCTTGTGACCCCAAAATCTAATCAGTTCATCGGCTCTGCAAGATACATACATGACCAAAGTTTGGCAGGAATCCATCAATCGGTTCTTCAGATAACGCGATCACGAGAACGGGACGTACGGACGTACGGACGGATGGACAACCCGAAAACATAATGCCTCCGGCTACTTCGTAAAGGAGGCATAAAAATTCTCACAAGTACATATCTAGAGAAACTACATGTATTGTAGTACTTGGTAATAGCTTTTACCGTTTTTTTGAAGGTCAGATACGATGCCGGTTGCTACAAGATTTTGCGCTCCCTCATGGTCACAATTCACAAGCACATCTATACTTTTATGATGATCTAGAGTAGCACACAAGATTGAGACTTTGAGTTAAATGATGAAGCTACTCACATCTTGTTGATGTTTCTGAGTGGCATCTACCAGAGTAGTCTGAGCCTGTCTAAGGTTCTGCTGCAGACTCTCATACTCCTTCTCCAGTCCATTCCTCTGATCCTTCACCGTACCAAGCTCTGAACCAAGGTCATCGATCTTAGCTTGAAGTTCACTGACCTCATCTTCCTTGGAGTTGATGCGGTCCTCAGACTGATGGAGTTTACGTTCCAGGTGTTTGGAGTTCTCATCAATCTCTAGGACCTATCGTGATACAGGGGGAAAAGTGATATACCACTAGATGCTGACTTTGGGGATTAGGCATGTAGGTAACTCCACAAAAAATGAGCCTCTCTGTTAAAATGATCTAACTATTAAACATTATCCAAACTACAGTATATCAATTCATGTTGTTTTCTTAGTTCAAGAGAATGTTGGAAAAAATAGAGCTATTCACATCAAATGTTTTGATGTGGCAATTCCAAAATAGATTCAGATTTGAATATAGAAAATACATCATTCAGGTAAAACATGGACAAGTGAAATACAACTTAATCAAGATAAAAGCTTTGATAATCACTAAAATAAATACCTCACTTTGTCATTTGATGAATTCATTGTTAATTGTATAACAGGACTGGTGTGGAAGCTCTATCATAAAGTCTCCTGTAAATTGATATAATATCAATTCGCTGTTGTGATACATAAACAACAGGACTAAGTCGAAAAAATTGTTGTGATTAATCGCGAAACTTGCGAATGATATCAATCGCAACTAGGTACATAAGAGATAGGAGACTGCAAATTCGTGAATGATTCAGATAAATCTAATTTTTTATAAGATGGGGCCCTGATACAGAAAGATAATGACCGGTTATACAAACCTGTTGTGAAGTGTGTCTATGTGTGTCCTGGTATGCTTGAAATTCACTTTCTACTCTCTTCGAATGATCCTCATATCTCTTCAGCTATGAAACAAAGGAGAATACCACAAATGTTGTATATAATACCAGCATGTGTATGTGTGCGTGTGTTTTATTATGTTTTTACAGACCAGTTTCAATTGGATATGATTTTTTAGGTCTCTGGACCGACCTTTAAAGTTACCATCTGAAAGAATTGACTCAGTTTCGAACCGGGGTCGCCTGAGCCAGTTTGTAGGCAAAGACACAAAGCTAACCAGCTGAACGTGACGCTAAACCAACTCACATCTCCCTAGATTCTAATTCTATAACATATACCACTAGAGTTATAGTTATACATCTACTTTACTGCTAAATGTACTATATTCCATGGAGTAACATAATTGTCTACCTGCTTTTATAATTTATTGATTGCCTAAAACTGATAAAAAAAACATGCTTTATGACTGATATTTTGTTTCAGCCACATTGAACGATTATTTGTACTTGTGATTGTAGTCAGTTTGTAAGTAACTATTTTATTTTGTGTTATCATATTTGTGTCCTTTCTTTCCCTATTTATTTTTATATTTTCTTTAAGGGATTTTCTCTATGTAAGTGATATGTGCCATATAATCAACAGGCATTAGTATAATTATTAAAGTATATGATCTTACAAATGATTTCATCTTTCTTGATTTGTATGCAAAATGTGTGCATAAGATACTACATCATACCTCTTGCTGCTTCTCATTCAGTCTAGCCTTAATAGTCTCCAGCCCCTCTTCAGTCATTCCTAGTTTCTCCTTAGTGCTTCTGAAATCAGTTTGCACTCTCTTGAGTTCCTCTGTCAATGAATCAATCACCATCTCACTCTTATGCTTCTCAGTCTGGCTCTCTCTCAGCTGTTGCTCCAAGTTTGAGATATCTTTCTTCAGTTTCTCACTGCCCTCCTCTCGCTCCTTCAGCTGCAGATAGGATCAGGTGGACAGGAGTGGGAGAAATGGTAGTAAGTTGTATTGAAACCAAGTAATATTTCCTTGCATCAACTGTGTCTGAAATTGATTTGACTCCAAACTTAAGTTAAGTGGTCCACACTTTTGAAACATCACTATCATTACACATATCAAGATGGAAACATTAAGGGTCACTAGAACTTGTTAAGTATAAAGGGACATGATATAACCCTCATTTAAATGAGCATAATTCTGCCCTAGCTCCCCTTTACATCTCATCTACAAAACATTCAGGATTGCTGTGATTTACTTCAGCCTCTCACATCATTACCTTCATCTTTAGTTGGAAGCTCAAACGATAACTCACCTGTTTGAAGTTTAAGTGTAATTTTATGAGGGAGTAGAGGGAAGAGATTAATTGAGAGCCCGCTTCGCCCATGTGCAATCATTCTTTGTAGCCAAAAAATGTGTTTCCTGATCCTGAAAGGTCAGATAACTTGCCTGAACTTGACATTTATAATGAAAGTGAACTAGAGTTAAACTCTATGAAAAGGGACGTCGAGAAGTAAAATCTCCATTCTAAACCATACCTTATAATTGAGCTCATTGTTCTGCTGCTCCATCTTCTGTGAGGCTATGGCTGAGTTATTCTCCACCTTCTGAAGCTGAGCCACCAGACTGGAGTGTCTCTCCTTGTAGTTAGCTAGCTCCGCCTGGAGGTCCTGTCTAGAGTACTCTATCTGCTGGAGCTGATCCTGGTGCCCAGCAAGCTCCTGCCGCACATTGGCTAAGATCTCTTCCTGCTTCTCTGCAGATCTGTTACACTGGGCAACCTGCATGTATGAGGTATATAGAGATCAATCTTTGTTAATTGTATAATCAGCTCTTTCCATATTATTATTTTTTTTTTTCTGTGAAGAAAACATGTTTATATACATCAACTACTTACAATACGGCATATTTTCTTTTCTGAGTTTACCCATCTTTGCAAGCCATTTTCATGTTTAAAGAGCAAGGGCAAGTTTTACTTTCTAATATTCATTAGGAAGCCTTTTATATTTTACACAAGTTAGAAGAAGAGTGCCTGAACCTTTCCTCAACAAAAGGCACAAAATCTTTGACAGGATTTAAGTGCCTCAACCAGAATGGTCCCCTAAGAAACAAGAAGCACAAGACACCAAAGACATGTCAGGTCAGACTACATACAGCCCAAGGTGGGTAACCTGCACTATGGTTTCATGAAGGCATGCTCAGAGACTACACGCTAAACAGTACCTGATCCATGGCTGACTTGTGAAGCTGTTGAGTCCTGACTAGATCCTCCTTCAGACCTTCCACAGTATGTTTATACTGGACTACCAGTTTGTCTCCCTCTCCAGCCTTGCCTTCTGACTCCTCCAGGTCCCTGCGGAGACGTCCTAGCTCTGTGTTGGAGCTACGGATCTCTTCCTCATACTGCTGCTGCTGGAGCTTCTTAGAAGACTCTAGCTCCTGGATCTTGGCTTGGTGTGAGAAGCTCTGTCATTTTAGAAGGGGGGAACAAAGAGTATGAGAACAAGTTTTAATCAAAGCCGACCTGCATATATATCATGTGATGTATGATATCATGGCCAACACAGGGATTGGTGCAAGAGTGCAAATTTGGAAAGGACACCATTGACAATATTGACATCATGTTCAGAATGATTTGAGAACAACCGATCATGATACAATGGGGGCTATTAATGCTCAAGGTACAGGAAATACTTACCACAGGGAGCATTCATATTTTAAAATGCGCATCATTTTTTTCTTCAATTATCACCTTTAGTTAGTTGGCAGATGAGGATTTTCAGTGACTGGTAGGTAACAGCTAATTTTTAATTTGACAAAACTTCACTGATATAGTATTGAAACACCAAAGAACTACTTCCCGAACATCTGTTTACAAACAAATCGTCTTCCCTAAAAATCATCAGATATTTATTTACTTACATCTTTTCGGCCTAAATCTCTCTCTTCTTCCAGCTGGATGATATGCTTGCTGTCTGAAGTCAGCTGAAAGATTAAAAAGAGTGATAAGGAATGAAATTAGGCACAAGAAACACAAATTTCACTAAAAAGAATGCTTATTTTTGTAAAAGTAACAATATAGTGATACTGTATTTCATATCACAACTCCAAGTAATGTAAAATAAACAAAGTTGCAAAGAAACGCAACCACAATGTGTCACTTAAGCACTGTTTAACAATCGTGCACAGACAGGGCTTCATAGTAAAAGAGATCGAGCAACACAGGACCCTAACATTTGAACAATTATTCCAATAAGAGATATAAAAGGGCAACCTTGTTTTTCATAATGTTCTTAATTTGCCATGTAGAATGAAGCCTTGTACATGTATTTTATTTTAAGCAATAAATCTTACCTTTCTCTCTTTCTCCTCAATCTGATCCTTGAGATCACGACACTCATTCTGAAGACTTTTGACCTTTGCTTGTTGCTCATGGACTTCCTCTTGCAGTGATTTATTCTAGGGATAAATACATCACAATAATCACTGAGATCAATGGTCATAACTTTGTACAACATGAAAACCAATAGTGCTGTAAAATCATATGATGACGTCTCAGGGCAACCAGAATTTCCAGGTGGGAAAAAGTATTGTAACTTTTGTAAGCAGCACTTCAACAGTCCACTACAAACTTACAAGCACAAATATAACAATTTGGGGAGAAAAAAAACATTGACCAACATGTTGTTGACAAATTCATAATGAACGATAGTTATTCAAACTTAATGGTATCTGCTTCTTTTCTTTTTTGTTATTAAAAAAGAGGGCTGGATAAAATGGCAGATTGGAATATAAGATTGAAATGTATTTGTCAACTTGGCAAGTGGTAATATTTTTCTCATCCAAACATGACCATCTATTATCAAGAATAAGATCCTCATTTATTGCATAGATAACATAATTATCCTCCATTTACCTCTTCCATACCGCCTTGATACTGTTGCTGCACTGTATCCAGCTCTGACTGTAGCCTTAGGAGACTCTGATCCCTGGAGGCTAGCTCTGTCTGACAGGTCCGATGTTTCTCCAGGGTAACAGATAGATCCAGCTCCTGTCGTTGGACCCTCTCAGCAAGCTTCAGGAGCTCATCAGCATCGTGTCTTCCTTGCATGCTCAGACGTGCAGCATCGGACTTGGTGAGTTCCAACAGGTTTTCAGCTTTCATCAACTATCAAACAGAACAATGATTGCAAATATTGCTCTTTGAATTTTGGATGAATTCAAATAGGTACATTGTCTCCCTGGTTGGCTGCATATCTGCATGGACCAAGACATCATAATTACATCTCAACTTTGACCCGTTTATTATTTCATCTTCATGTTGGGCATAAAATCTGAAAGAAGAAAACAGATATTACATGTGCATCTTAGTTCAAACACTTCATGCACATGCACAATTGAGCACACTTTGCTGCAGGTGAAATTTGCTGCAAACAGCACAGACAAAGGTTTTTTGTTGTTTAAGTTTCAAGATTTGTGATAAATTGCACTAACCTCTTCACAGCATGATGTATACTGTTGCTGAGCTTCTGTGAGTTCTCTTTGAAGATGAGCTATCTCTTCCACCTGTCTTGTTGCCTGGTAGGGAGAGAGAGAGAGAATAAGAAAGCATGCATGCATGCATGGACAGACATGAGGACAAGGGTAGACATGCATGCATCTAGGTGGGATTGGGTGCATTATACATAATACAAGCGGCTGAATCATACACAATGCAAAGAAACAAGGTAGAACAAAATCAATTGATGCTTCACAATATTCTCATGCATTATGATAAAATGCAACTAAGCTAGAACGACAATGCAGCAAACTTTATTTAGTGTCTAGAATGTTAACCTTGGGATGCATTCCTCAAGCATTTACCAGTCTTTCTTGTTCTCTTTTCTCCTTTGTGGTTCTCTTGCTTTAGTCATTATTATCTACTGCTGGATAAGCTATGCTTCAAAAGAGAGGAACAAAGATAGATATCAAAGAAATCTTTGGGTAAAAAAAACTCAACCTTATTCAATAAGATCCCAGTATTAATATCGTAATGGATACGAGGTACTTTTCAAAATTGGTAGGGAGGAGAGGACCCAGCAGACTGTGTAAGCTGCTTTGGGTCATACTAATCAGAAACAGTGTGGTGACAGGTGTCATGTTGGCATATTTGAAAGAGGTCTCCAATCATGATTAGAATCAGGCCTGTGGTCATATAATGTAAGATTTCCTTTTTTATTCCACACACTTAGTAGCTACCGGTAGTAGCATAATTGGAAAGAGCAAAGAAACAAATCTTTGCAGAACTTTTTTTTCTTTTTCTTTTAAAGTTCTGGTCAGATATTCTCATTCCACAGACAGCACAAGACACTGAAGCATGATTAGGAAGAGAATTCCTACACATATAACCACATAGACTTGACCCACGTCACCTGAGGGTCACTCGTCTCGGCAAATATGGTTTTGTGAAACACTTAGCAGACAAGTGGACCGACAGCATTGAGATGTCGTTGATCCTTTACTTATGGCAATTTAGCGAAACAACTCCCTGGTAAAAAAATCTTTAAGAAAGTTTGTGTGTATATAAGGAACATATTGACATCAATACATTACTTGTTCACAGATAGGTGTAGCAAGCAGTGAAGAACAATGTATAACAACTTCCAAGACTTCAAAGCTCCTTAAAGACTAAATGAACATGTAGACATCCAAGTGAATCCTAAGTTTGAAATAATGACCATGAGTGCTACCTGGACTGCAAATCTATGATAGCTACAATGTAGATCTTGAACCTGATCTACACTAGCTCTGTGCTCCTACAACATTACAGCATGCACCAAAACATTACTACAGGTATCACAATGAAAACTTACTCTATCTTGCAGTCTCAATTCAAACGAAAACATCACAAGTAATGGTGCATCAAATGGAACAAAGTTTGTGATATTCCTGGTATTAAACCATACTATACAGCTCAATGGACCTCAGAATCAATGAGCAGTCCTGTAATAGAGATTCCAAGTTCTAATCTAATTCATGTCTACAACAAAGTAGCCTGAAGAATAGTCTTCCAAGCTACTCGAAGTGTACAGGCCACTGAGCAGTGGATGAATGCAGGCACCAAACACAAGTGGGAGCAGTCTTTGATCACTGTCACTTTCCCTAAATGGTTGGGTGTGTTTTATGTATGGTATGTCTTTTTGTATTTTATCATCTAACCATCAAACAATTCTTATCATTTACAAGCAAGTATTTGAATAGTATTGTTATTTACAGTGAATAAGTACTGAATTCCCAAAGAAGGTTTGCCCCCTAATTATCACAAACTTGGCGTTAAGAGCAAAAAATAATTATATACAATCAGTATTTAACAGATTTAAATGGGTTTATGAATTGATGACAATTCATGAAATTTACATGGCACCATATTTTTCATTAAAAAACATTAAAAGATGCAGATTTACATTTGACTGTACATAATAGGAACAGAGATTCGAAAGAAAGAGCCAGTGAAAAACTAATTTAAATATCCATTAAGTCCATTTAATACATCAATTTTGATAATAAATATAACATATTTTTCAATCATTTCATATAAACATATAAAAAAAAAGTGAAAAGGCATTATTTTCCAGAAATAAGCAATGAAGACACAATCAAAGTAATGCACATAGTTGGCAAAGGTTGAAGGGGTGAAATAAAAAATAGATTCCATTCAATTTGGGGGATACATCTGTATCTATAAGCATGGTACACAAACCCTAGAAGTTTGTCTTTAAATGTTTGTATTTTTGATAAACCACAATAATTTATCCCTTGCCAATAAACAACACGAGATACAGTTAAATCATGAACATCTCACAGATGAATTTGGTTTTTAACCTACAACTTAAAGGGATTGGGTAACTTTGTCTCACATCCTGAAACAAAATCCTAGACTTAGCTCATGCTGCAATGATAATTATAAACCTTAAGGTCAGTCAGGAACCCCCTGACTTTTACAAGCCTGTCTGATTATTAAGATATTTATGATTGGAAATCTAAATCAAATTTTGCGTTTTCCTAACGGTTTTCATAACACTATTGGGGAAAAAAATGAGTATGGTTAAACCGGTCACTCAAAGATTTTTACTTTATTTGAGGACTTCTTGATCATTTTGAAGTGCTATTTTTTTAGGGCTTCAATATAACACCATATCACAGACACTGATAACACGTAGGGCCGTTCATCTCAGATTTAACATTGTTAAATGATGCCTTTAATGGTGAGGCACTTTTTTTACTCTAAAAAGAAACAAATTTACAAAGGAAAACATTATTATTTTACATGACTGAGAACTACAAATACATGACCTTGAACACCACAAGACATGATTTTTTAATGAAGCAGAACATTTGTGACCATTACACAATACTTGATACATTACAATATATGATAATATCTCTTCAACAGGAAACTGCTGAAAATCAATCAGATATTTAAAAAGGACCTTCTTGTTAAAATATTTCTCCAGTTTATCTGGACATTGTGATGTCCATTAAGAAAAGCTTAATGGTGGGGAAAAACAATAAGACAATAAAACTTGGTGGCTTGCGTTTCATTTATTTGGAAATACAGCATATGGAGTGTTGTTACTAGGTGAACAACATAAACGTACATACAGGCCTACAAATAAATTCCATATTTTGATTTGTTAATATGTATAACATATGCAATCTACCTTTAGCTGTATGAATTTCGGTGAAATAGGTATTTCCATTCAAATTTTCTAAACTATATGAAAATATAATGTTAGATTTGAAAAATTCAAAAGACCTATCTATTATCAATTAACATTGAAAAGGACTGATTTGGATCAAATAAAACTATCAAATCTACTCAATAATAAGTATATATCAACAGTTTTTCACCAAAACTAAAAGCCTTTGAACACTAAACGACAATACAGATTTTTTGCACTTTAAACAAGGTTAGATTAAGATATGATTTCTAAACCATACAACACAACAATATAATGAAATTCACACATGTATATCATCATTTTTCAGTACAAACTGGAATTTTCCAAATATCGCTCCCTTTCTTTCTCCCTACAAAGTTTGCGGGTATGTGATTAACAACTTACTAGACTTTCATTTTACCCTTTGAAATATAATCGATAATCAACTTGGACAAGGTGAGCGACGGAGTACTCTTGAATCATCTGATAATTGTACCAAATAAGGCCATACAACAAACACTAGGAACATAAATTTTAGTCCGTAATTATGTTTTGATTGGTGAGAATTTCCCAACCAGGAGCTGAATAGTCATTAAAAAAAGACTGACAGTTATACTAAAAATTAAAAAAAAAACATTTGAAATACGTTCTTGCAGGGCTAACAGGATAGTGAAGGTGCTCAAGGCAAGTTGTTCATAAAAGTGGACATTTCACATTCAGAGAAATTGTGCAGCATTCAGTGAAGGCAGCCACAAGCACCTTGATTAAAGGCTATATCACACTTTGTATGTACAAGTTTGTATGTGATACATATACATACAAGGCTAGAGCTGATATATGAAAGTATGTGGGCACTGTATTATACTTTGTACAGAATTGGTATTACATTCTGCATTCTGAGTTCGATATAAAAAACATTTTAACAGGAATAATAATTTTCCTTCATGCTTTTAAGTTTGATCACGGCTGCAGGCCAAGGTATAAAGATACAATTGTAAAGCGCAGTCTGCATATAACCAAAAATGCACGCTCGTTGAATAGTACTACGGCAAATAGCACCAAAAATGCATGCCCGTGCAATAGTTTATCTATTGAATATCATGTGACCAACAATCCTCCAATCGAATGACAAGGATCTACTTAGGTGTTGTATAAAATACAATATGTAGGCATGCCATATTTACTATCAGGTATTCATGATCCAATGCCTTTCTCCTCCTCGAGTCATTGTTCTTCAATTACAGAAGGTTGCCTTCAGCCTCAATGTATGCAGTTATGACAATGCACACAATGGATATGCCCAGGGAACCAAGGACCGGGGATGTGATATATCTTATACATGCAAAATACCATACAAAACCAGATTACATATTGCACATCTGTTCACATACATGTCATATGATACTGCAGACCTGCCAACCTCTGGAGTTCAAAAATGTATTTTTAATCCCAAAGTTGTATTTTACTGACAATAGTTATATTCTTAAAAATAAAAAAAAGACTGTTACACAGATCAATGCCTCTTACAGTTCCTACATACAGGAAGAATTTGTTTAAGGATCATTGGTTGACTATGCATGATTTCGTCACAACTGGTGTGTTCGATGAACCAATGAACATCCCCAAATTGCCGATGTGAGATGCTTGTAGGATACTTTACAGGACAGAATGGGCATTTTGCTATTGGTGTACACACATTAAAAAAATAAAAAATAAAATGAAGAGGAAAATCGTACTGTCGTATTTGCTTCTAAAAATCGTACAAAATATGACTAAATCGTAATGGTTGACAGGTTTGTAGCCATTAGCAAACTCTCTAATAAATTTGTTTTGCATACAAGGTAGATACAAAACAAGTAATTTGAATACCATGACACAAACAAGAAGTATTGTCAACATTTGGTAGTTAAGATATGAAGTTTTATGGCTGTTTTCATTAACACAGATAATGCATTTACTTCCCCTTCCTTTAATACTTGATTATTTTCCCTTCAAATCTTTATCTTCTCTCCTAAATCTTCTGTATTTTTATCTCTACACAAGAGTCTCTAGACTAGTGTGCATCCTACATGGGATCCCACAGATACATGATCATTGCCATATCTAGAACTACGTCTCTCTATCTTGATACAAGTTGTCTGCTTTCAGTGCTACATGGAGTAGAGAAGGTAGAATCAAGCTCCTCTATGAGAAGGCGGAGAAGACTGGTTACCAAGACAACACGACAACGAACTACCAACAAATCATGGACAAACTACATCATTCAATGCATGCATGAAGATGACATCCAGCAGCCAGCATAATGAGGACAATTAGATTCCAAATAAAGATGTCATACAAGCAAAAGGATAATAGTTACATTGCAGAGACACATGAAGGAGCACAGAAAAGGGCAACCATTTTCAGGCAAGGATGACAACAAACCATAAACGAATCCATCGACAGCATCGTTACAATTTGTGCCACATATAAAAATGTAGGGAGAATAGGCCAGGAAGTTGGGAGGTATAATTCAACCAGTGAACAAAATAAGTTAAACGCCATGTCACAATAGTGTTCATTCAGTGAATTTGAGGGAAAGAACAACATATTTGCATAGTTTTGTTGAAGTTAGCAGATACGTCCAATTGACAGCATAGGAAAAGTAAAGAGAGAAGAAAAGCTACTTATTAAGATTATATAATAAGATATTGGTACAACAAAGGAATGATTAGTAAAGAAATGCATATTGGAAAGATAGAAGAATGAAGTGTACAAAGTCATGCCATTCTCTTATATGCTTGCACAGATGTAAACAGATGTAAACACTGTTGGCTAAAACACAAGAGTATATCTTAGTGTTCTCTGTTCAAATGAAGTTGAAAGTAAATAGTGAGTAGGGGTAATGTATATAGTTGGCTTGGGGTCGATTTGGGGTTACAATAAGCCCATCATACAATATACTGTAACACACAAAACACACTGCAAGTAACTTGTACATGTTGCTTTTTTATTTTTTTTTTGAAATGGTCAAAATAAAGAAGCTAAACTGCGATTGGCATTATGGGTTAGTAAGTTTTCTACTATTAAAACCATACCTCAATAATTTACTTTTGAAAAGAAAAAATACTTGATGGCAATAAATGGGAAATAAAATCATATTAACACTTTAATATCCATGAATATGTGGGCGTTGAACTTACCTAAAAGGTGATAATTCTTCTTGAGGTCAGAATGACACCATACAAATTCATGATAGAAAAGAATACTTAGTGAAATGAGAGATGGCACTAACCTCTTCTTGATGTTTCCTCCTTATGTTCTCCATGTCCAGCTGAGACTTGGTGAGAGAGTCCTCAAGCTTCTTCATCATATCAGACTGACGCTGGATCTAGGAATTCAAACAACACAAATACAATTCTCTTTACATGATAGCCATTTCAAATGTGACTTCTGAGCCCTTTTTTTATCAAACTTTGGGTTTACAAGTGCGACACTGAAGAAACAGATCTGCTCACAAGTCAATCAAATGCATTGATTTCAGTAGATTATATCAGTTCTTGTAACTCGTCTTTATAATAATCACACTATAAATTTAAGACATTGAACGCTTTGACCTAAGCATCATCTTTGACTCATGCCAGATCTATTCAAAACAATATCCAACATGTATCCTAGGTATTATTACCATAATTGCTTTATCAGTCACAAGTAATGACTATCGTTATTGTTACTCTTTTGTTCATTTACATCGTGAAAAAATTCCAGGAAGTGACACAATGACTGCTTTTCGAGGTTCCAGTAATGATTATGATAAGAGTCTTCTTCTCACCTCAGATGTCTTGCTCTGATGCTTGGATTTAAACTTGGTGTTCTCTGAATTCAGTCTCTGGATGGAGTTGTCTCGTTCAGACATCTAAATGATTAGAGGGGGAGTTGAAAATGAGATAAGATTAGCCGGTAATTCAAGTACAATTGGTCAGATACTGGCCAATCCATACAAGGGGCAAATAAACTGCTATTATCAACTTATATTTACAATTTCATTTAAGTTATTTTCAGCCTCTTTAAGCTGAGAAACCTTATATTACACACAAAGTGTAGGAATTTTAGGGGAGAAATGACATTTTGCCTGTATATCATTTTAAGAAACAAAGTATCATTATTTTAAAAAAATACAAATCTATAAAATGTAATATCTTTGAAATTTTGTTTCACCTTTGATAAGAGATCTCTGTGTTGTTGATGCATGGTCTCTGTGTCGTTCTTGAGTTCAGAAATCAGGTCATCCTTCAGCCTTATCTGTAATAATATCAAATCATTGTTTGCATAAAGACATGCATTATAATAATAAACAAACTGTCTGGCACTGACATACTTTGTCATACATATATTCTTATACTTTCAATGATAACAAGTTCAGTCAGAGAGGTTGTGTTAGATCCTCGTATCTTGTAATGTCATGTTGATGGGTTCATTACAGATTACACTCATATCGTCGGTGGGGTGACAAAACCTTGTATCTCAAAAATCATGAATTTTCAGGAGAGCGAAAAAACTTTCCTGTCTCAACAAATTTGGTGCTGTGACACCGTCCTTTCTTTTTAAAACTGGAATATTTATACAATTTTTAATGTCATAGTTGAAATACAGTAAAATAATTGTTTTTATATTTGAAAGTGAGTTACGAGGTTTTTGCGTTTATCTACATTGAGATACAAGTTTTTAGTTTGTATTCAAATTGAGATACAAGTTTTTACTTTCAACTCTGAATGAGTTACGAGGGTTTGGTTGAATAAGTTACGAGGATTTGAATACACTAACTTTGGTACTTGTGTGAGTTACAAGAAAAAGGAATTACGTATCTTATGTTACGAGGTTTTGTCAAAGGGGGTTAAAGTTACGAGGTTTAGTTTAAGGGTGTTTGTGTGGAAATTGTGAAAAAACCGAGAAGGAGGCGTTCCATGGATTTATCAGGTGGTTTCGTATGCCATTAGGTACAAATTTATGCAAAAAAATCAAAATCTCAAACAATTGAGATATGAGGTTTTGCATTCTATTTGCATAATTTTCCTTTCTCAGACAGGTTACTTTTATAGGAAGAAATTCCTTGATTGCTGTGAGCACCAGAATTGTCTTAGTAACTCTTTATCAATAGAGGATGGAAAAAATGAAATTGAGCAATTGATCATTTGTTCAAATCTAACCAGGAATTGTAATAAATGTCATTGTTGTAAATCAATTTATAGCATTGTTAAACATGATGTTAACATTTAACTTACAGTTTGTGTGAGAGATTCTTCTTTATTCTGGAGGGACTGGTAATCACAGTTGATTTCATGCAAAGTATTCTCCAGTCTCTCAACCTTTGGGAAGAATAGAAGTATTATTAAACAATGCAAGAGTGCATACATGTTAGAATTCAAAATGGCATGGAGATGTCTTTTGTACAAGCTTACAAGCATCCTCATATTAATAGCGACATGGGTTGATTATCTCACATCCCAATTGTCAGAATAACGGTGTGCTCTGAACACATTTCAAAATCATACATCCAAATAAATTTGGACAAGAATGTCCTCATTCACCTCCACACAAGAAAAGAGAAATCAAAATCAAAGAAAACTTGAAATCAAAAATAGTAATATGTTCTTCAATCTTCTAATACAAGTAAAGTGTTATTATGTGTTATTATGCTCACCTCTTCCCTGACTGTGCTGTGCATTGACTTAGCATCTTGCAGTTCTCTCTCTAGACTCTCAATAGTGTCATCTTTCATCTTCAATTCTGATGTAGTGGTCTGTAGTTTGTGTCTCATCTGCTCCAGGGACAGCTCCTGTCAGGGTCAATAAATATATCTACTATGAGAGACGTTCTTTATTTACACATACTGTTACTCCAAAGACATATTGAAGCACTGGAAACTAATATTTAAACTAATATTTCCAAGTTTGAAATGTTTACCTCAAACTCTTAAATTTTCAACTACCTAAACATTTATGAAAATAAAGTACTTTTACAGTTCATATGCATATGCATATTAACAGTTAGTTAATTGTTATCTGGATATTCTAATCAATGTGCGAGATATATTGTACAAAAATACCTATCTGTCATTGACTTACTTCATGTAAGACGAACATGTTAATGTATTTGAAATCAGAGTCCCCTTGGATGTGTGGCACATGTCATTTCTCACAATGAACACGGTTACTTTATAACTGTTTTTATCCCTACTGTGCCACTAAGTTTACAAATACTTTCCATAAACGAACTATCACATACAATGTTAGATTTAAAAGATGCTTCATTTTCAGAGTACACAAAAGACATCTGGGCCCCATCTTGCAAAGAGTTGATATCAATCGCAACTATGTACATAAGAGATAGGAGACTGCTAACTTGCGATTGATTTGGATCAAACGTAACTCTTTGTAAGACGGTGCCCTGATGTTTGGATCAAACTTCACTATAAATGTACTTGCTTTTATTTGAGGAAAGAACATCTGGCTATTTTGACACAAAACACACAGCACTCCATCAGTATCCTAGGTGGGATTTGCCCCACAACAAAGAAGGAAATAAACGGTGATCTAAATACAGTTTCATAACTCTGTTGCTTAGATATTGTATGTGAGTAGAAGAGTATCTTACCTGTGATGATAGCCTTTCTTCAGTTCTATGTAGCTGTTCATAAAGAGCAGCTTGTTCAGACTTGGATCTTTGGATTTCTTCATCTTTCTTGGATGCCTGTCAAGAAAGGTTTACATGAATAAAAGACAGTTGTCTATTTAGATGAAAAAGCATGGTGATTCTTTTTTTTGGTTAAAATTACATGAAGCCAGAAACTTGTGGAACATGAATGTTTCACAAATCATAAAGACAACCATTCTCATGGCACAAAACTTAAGAAATTTGCAGCAATTAAATATTCTTTAATATTTATTATTTGCAACTTTAACAATTTCACAAATTTAGACTAATCAAGAAATTTGCAAAAAAAGTTTTCTTGCACTTCGAATGTTTTGGTTTTAAAGTAGTCCATATCTCACCTCAAAAGGACATAATGTTCACTCTGTGATGTGATATACAAACTAACATATGACTACGAGGTCCCATGGATAGGACATAAAACTGCATGTTCCCTTGTTTCATTGTCATATATTCAAATCTTACATCAACATACACATGCTGTGGTAGAACGTATAGATCTAACCTCATTAGAGAGGACCTCATGTTCACTCTGTGATGTGATGTGCATGGCTTGGATGCGTGCAGCTAGTCTTCCATTCTCCTCCACAGCATCCTTGTATTGTTGTCTGGTTGTATTCAGGTCTGTCTCAAGCTGGGAAAGGGAGGTCTCTTTCCGTGCAAGCTTTAAATCGTGATTTTATGAAAGACAATGGAAACACATTGCTATGATAAAACAGAAATCTCGGTATGGTCTGAGCATAAAGTATAAGTATATAATTTATTGTTCATATGAGGAAATTAGTTTTCCACTGGTTGATTTAAATCCAGTGGAGATTGCCACTGAGTGGTGTCCAAACACAATCCTGACAAGGTTTACACACCAATTCAGCTTGATACCCACTCTCATGCTCTTTGTCCTTTTCTCCCAATGGTTTCCAATATGCACACTTCAATTTGTCCCTTCATTCTCCAAGTCATGCTTACTATCTCACACTCTAACTTTCTTTCCTCAATATTGTTTTCCCCTTTCTCTCTCTCTCTCTCTCTCTGTCACTCACAGTGTGCCTATATTAATCTCTTCTGTCATGATCAACATACATTTCTTTCTCCTTCTCACATGCTTTCTCTCTCTCTCCTCGTTTCCTACCTCTTCTTGTGATCTCCTTTTCTCTTCTCTGGCAGTCAAGAGCTGTACCTCAAGTTTCTGCAGTGCTGTTTCTTTCTTTGACATCAAATCTGATGCACCTCTGTGCTGCTTCTGTAATTTGTCAATAGATTCTTCTCTATAGGATACCTGAGATTTCAACAAAACAAAATGAGAAAAGTCATTGATGACCCATGAATGCGAGCAATAAAAGTCGGGCGACAAGAAAATCAGCTGAAAATGACATTTTAGACATAGGGACATTTTCATGAGGATTTTGAATATAAAAATTGTTTTCCACTTGGAAACTGATTAAAAAAATTTATAAGAGGACCTGAAGATTAATTTTGTGAATGCCTCCCCCCTCCCACCCCCCCCCCCCCCCCCCCCCCCGAAATGGAGAATGAGCGAATAAAAAATGCCGTCATTTTCGTGACGTCACAAGGTGACAATCGCGATACAGCTTGGTACTCCATTATCACTGAGTGCATCGCTTCATGTTGACAGAGATTTTTTTTTTTTTTTTTTTTTTCCCCTTAACATTTCCAGTCATTTGTTTAAGTTTATTATCATGGAGGATCCACACTCAGTTTCATCTTATTCCAACAGTGAGCGTGAATTCCACAAAGGATCTGGATCGGAGTCAGAATCAACTTTGATCTTACTTTGTCAACTATGTTCTTTATTGTGCAAATAATTGTTATATGAAATGAAATAAAATCAATTAAACAATCAATCCTAAAGATGAACTTCAAAATGTGTATCGGCAGCCGATGATAAGGGTACAACTGTATAGATTTTGGCCTCCGGCTTAGCAGAAGGGAAAAGGCACTCTGTTTTGATTAGTGAAGATTTATTCATATGGGCTTACATTTCATCTGCTACCCTAAGCTGGCAATGTGAAATTCATGAGCCTTCAAATTGAGGCAGAATATTTCATATGCACGTCCCTTTTAGACTTCATGGTCTTAAAACAAGAGATAGAACTCGGACTGATAGATCAAATTTAAATCAGCAAGAAAAAGCAATAACTGTTGTCAATGCAATAGTCTTTCAGAATACTTAACCTTCCATCATCTGACCCTTAAAACTAGCAATTACATGTAGCATTTAGTACCTGAGACTGACTCTCTGAGAGTCTATCTCTGAGTGTGACTAATTCAGTTTGCAGTCCCTGAAGCTTTTGCTGATAGTCACTGAGGTCTGCCTGGTTACGGACAATCTCACTATGCTCTGAATCATGTTCTTCATTCAGTCTGTTCACCTGTCAATAGAGAATAAATCATCAGTTAGAAGGACACTAGTTTACATCATATTGGCTCCAAATAGACAGTATGGTAAATAGTACATCTCACATCCATTCAGATATTTTACTTTTATAAAAAGCTACTTCTGACAATTAATTTATTGTGCGAATCAACTTAATTTCCAGTGTTGTAATTCAATCTTACCATTTCTTGGAGATTGTTTCTCTGCTGTTCTTGTGTTTTAATCTTCTCATTTGCTCTCTTCACTTTATGTCGACTTTCTTCCAACTGCAAATCAAATTCAATACAGGAACTTTGTGTCAGCATACAGGTTGACAGTCAAGTAAATTAACATAATATAGCACTGGGTTTCCGAGTAGTAGTTCTTAAAATATACGGTCTTAGATAGAATATGAGCCATATCATTAATCTCCATTAGTATTTCAATGATTTGCAGGTACACAAGTGACAAATAATTGTGTCTACAGCGCACAAAATTTTCAAGTAAATTTGATGTTCTATATCTGTGGTACAAGCCGGTTTATAAGGTTTTAGAAACAGGATTATGGACACTTTTATTTTTATTTTTGATGTCCTTCCTGGATGTTTAGAAAACAGCTGTATTATCTATTATGATTTTATAGGCTTATAATGTAATACATATTTACAAACTATGCTAGAAGCCACACTTGCGTTAAGAACAATCATTCATACCAGTGACTTTAATCTCTCCACCTCATCCCTCAGCTGTGTGATGACTTCACCCCTATGCTGCATTTGGATCATGCTATCCCTGTGTGTGACCTCTAACTCTGACAGGTCACTCTTCAGTTTGAGAATTGCATCATGCCTTTCAGCAACCTATGTAGACAATAGTAATGGTGATTTTAATTGTGATTCCTGGCAGAGAAAGATGAGGTTCATAGTACGTTTGGTAAGAAAAGATGTCATTCCAAGAAACAGATAGGAGCTTGGGAGTAGAGCAAGATACTTCCATGAGTCATCTTGAAATATTTCTGTCAAAGATGAGCTTTCACTCCTGAAAATTACAGTTTTCATATCACATCAAAATGGCGAGAATTTATATTAAGATATATATACACATATACATATATATAAAATACATTGAATCAGTCGACATGGACTTTTCAATAATTTGAATGGCAATTACCCGAGAAAATCTATGCAGGAATAATTCTTGCTATTAGCGGAGCCTTTGCCCAGCTGCCTTTAAAAAGTGAAGGTATTATAAGGGTTTCTTCAGTCTTCACACATGTTGCGTATTAACCGTAACTGTATGGTAGTCTTCCTCTGTATTTGGGATATGTAGATTGACAAATACAGAAATAATTTTCTACACATTTTTAACATTCAGCTTTTTTTGTTTAAACATTCACTACATGGAATCAAACTAGATGTACCAGGGTGCTACAAGAATTTTTTTCACCACTTGCCCTGTCGGGCAAGTGGGTTTTCAATTTACTTGCCCAAACAATATTTCCACTTGCCCAAAACTTTAAAGCGAAAAAGGACTCGAGGTTAAAGCATTTATTATCTCGTAATGATAAGTTAGTGTTTTAGATAGCAAATTAATGCACATACATGTACAGTGTAACTGTACTGAATAATAACCTAATATGTCAAAGAAAATGGTCAACAAAGGATGGTTGAAGGTCATCTGGAAACGTAGGCTAATTTTCAGCTGTTAATAATTTGGGTCAACTCTTCCATCAAGAAACGTCATGTAAATAATGGGTAATCAACTATTTTAAATAAAGTACGGACATTTTTATTTCATCATTCACTGCTATAAATATCATGCCAAAATTTGTAAATTCTTACTAAATAATAATATTGAAGATATTTTACGATAAATCTCGGATAAGTATGCGAAAACTAGACTAAACAACGTCGCTAAAACCATGAAAACAAAACAACAACGGCTTATATTCTGGGGGTCTCGATACTATTATCAAAATGACTCGCTCGGTCGGATCTTGAGACCGCAGTAATAAATTGAAAACGAGACAAAAACATTCATCTGATTTATATGAGCAGCGAGTTTTAAATAATATGTTCACAATCATTAACAGTCATTATGAATAAATATCAAACATTTGACTTTTTGTACTTACTAGAAAATCCCTGTTGTTTATTCCATTCCGATTCGCACGTGTTCATTTCCCTAGAATAATGACGTCATATTTGGCGTGATTCAACCAATCGGCAATCAGAGAATAGCAAAGGCCTGTCAGTGCGGCCTGCAGAGCTAGAGAGAGAGAGCGCGAATAAGCTCGCAGCTGGTACGATCGCGCTAGCTGTCTCTAGCTAGCTCACGGCCGGCCGTGCGTGGAGGCGGAGCGGCATTCATGGCTTGAAGTGTCACTGTTGCATGCGCGCTGAGCTAGCTGAGCTGGCTAGCTGTCTGTGAAGTTTTTTCGAAATCGGAACGATCGCTTTTTTGCTTCTGGATTTTGACGACGGGTAAGAAGTTGACGGGTGAATGGTAGAGTTCTTGGACACTAGGAAATTACTGTAAAAGTATCACTTGCCCGAATCGGGCAAGTGATAATTTGATTTACTTGCCCGACGGCTCAATTTGGTTGCCCCGGGACGTCGGGCAAGCGGGTTTGTCGCGCCCTGTGTACAAGTACCACCAAGACCTCCATGTCTGTTGAGTAAATTTGTTTCAACTTTGCGTAGCAGAAGGCTAGCTTGACCTACCTCGGCAGAGAGTGCATCCTTGGCATCTCTAGAGGATGATCTAGACATCTCTAAGGCCGCCTTCAAGTTCTCCGTCTCTGCTCCAAGATTGGTATACTTCTGACGACTGAGTTGAAGCTCATTCTCAAAGTCCTTGACAGACATTCCAATCTGGGTATTCTCCTGTCTGCTAGACGTTAGCTCTGTCGTCAGAAGCTCTATCTTGCTGTCTCGCTGCTTCAACTGCAACAGAAAGAATATCATACTCTCATCTGTTTTATATATGAACAGACCTAGAGTCCTAGATCATTCTGGATACATCTAGATGCCAATATTTCATATATGGACTTAGTTGTGACAAGGAGCTCAATGTCATAGTCTTACTTATTTAACTGACATAGACTGATCATTTGCAATGACTGATATACAGTAGGCTTGCGGTTGCACCATGTGAGACAGAGGGGGAGGATTGAGGAGTCCTAAAAACGACTCTGTAATCCTTCTTGAGGATGTGTAGTCCTGAAAAGGACTGTTAGTATAGTCTTGAAAAAGACTGTTGGTTATCTTTCTTAGCTTATAGTTCTAAGGAGAACTATAGCGCCAACTGGAGAGGATGGGTGGCGGGAGTGGCTCGACGTTTCGAACAGGTTGACTATCCATCGAGCGTTTGATATTTGTTGATGACATTGATTTTTCATAAAGTGGGTTGTCCAATAAAATAGGTCACAGAAGGTTGCTAGTTAATAATAATTAATCTATGAGAAATTTACATACACCACATACAAGTACAATATCAAATGGTTCATTGAATATGGTCCTTTGATTCTTAATATTTGACTATGGTCATCATAACAGCTACTACATGGGCTCATTCAAGTTCTGGTAGTAGCTCACCTCTTCTATTTTTAGCTGCATCTGATCTTCCAATCTCCTGACTTTCCTCTCTTGTCTCTCAGTCTAATTAAATCATATAAGAAATAATTGTTATCCTATCATCCTGATAATGATATACATGCTGGCCATACAAATATGGAAAAGTTATTCAAAGGGTTGTCAACGTTACGCCAGGTTTTTTAGAGAATATTCAATCTTAATTTGACATTTTAGATCTTAGGCTTATAAATCTGTGAGATGAAGAAATGACAATTAGTGTTCCATTGGTTAAACTTTCACTCCTTAACTTTCCCTCATTAGAAGCACCAAAATACCTTGACATATTCAATTACAAGTACATTTGCAGGAACTGTATTTTAGTCAAATCCACGTAAGAAAAAAAAGTGTCTCTCACTTCCAAATCTAAAATGTAAGTACACCCCATCAGTGTTATTATTATTAGTACACCACACCTTAATCTATCAAGGAACTTATATTGCATTATAAGTTGATGCACTGTAATTTCATTATTGATTTTCTTGAATTTTCCTTGAGAATGTTTGAAATGCATTATGTACATGTGGAGGTGTTAATATGGTCTATGCATTAACATATAATGTATACGTGAATAATATCCAGTGATGTGTTTTGAAGACATAATGAAAAAAATATGTATACATTTAACACAGTGTGCATTGACAAATGAATGAGGTATGATGAACCTATTTGTAAATTGTAATATTCATATACATTTTCATTCTAAATAGTGATCTCTTTAATATATATTTCTACCTCAAAAGAAATGATATAACAGTGACTACACACTGCTTACACTTCTTACAGAACAAAGAGCAATTTTATAATTACATCAAAGTACATGAATTGTTTTCATTATATAAAATTAAACATCAGCATTAAACATTGAATAAATAAACCAATTATATTGATTCTGCAGTATAATAGCTAGCTTAATTACTCTTTAAAGTCTTCACCAGCATTGAATCAATTTACTAATAGACCATCACCACGCATGCATGAATTAACAGGTCAAAGTTCCGTGCAGAATGGAAGAAACGACTAGCTAGTTCACAGAGCTTTAGGAAATCTTCTTGCATGCATAAAAAATATACTATTTTCCAACCCTTTCATTTTGTGTGCATCACTAAAAGAACAGAAAAAAAGCAAAATAATGGAAAATGAAAAAGAAAACAGTTAACAAATAAGAGGCCGGCTCAAATGAACTGCTTTGTTGAGGAAATACATGTATCTCTCTCTACCTGAACAAGGCAATGAATCTGACAACATAGTATACCTTGATGCCCCATGCATGTTTCCTATAACATCTAAACAATCATTCTTTTGTGATGCTCATGCAATGCTAGTTTGCCTGCAATGAGCTGCTGCTGCTGCTGCTACATTGCACATACCTCAGCAATAGAGTTTTCATATCTTTCTTGCAGCTTGAGCACATCTGAGCGGAGTTTCTGAATCGTATCATCTCTCCTAATCACCTACAATCAAAGTTTGGCACAAGTGAAAGACATGCAGAGAAAAGTCTACAGGAAACAAAAGTTGCATGCAGCTACATGTACAGGTAACATCGACCATAAGTTGTTACCAGAGTCGATTAAACTGCGTTTTAAAACTTACCCTGTATATGTGAAAACAATACTTTCTTTAAATAATTTGTTTACCACATCATTAATCATTTAAAATCTTTCAGTTGTAGAAATAATACAGACTATTCAATACAGAATCATCAGCTGTTCTTAGTGCACATATATGCAATGAGAAGAAAGGATAGAAAACTGCATGCACAAAAACGATGTACTGTCATCACCAACAACAGCACAAATACACTATATATTGGTCTGTTTTTTAGTACTGTCCACTAGAATAGATGATAATCTGTATCTTTATCAAAACTTCCATTGTGTGTCATGCATAATCATAATTATTAGTATATATTCAAATGCACCATGAAACATTTTTTTAAATATAATTTTCCAGTAAGCTTTTTAAAAGTATGATGTCTTCTTACCGGCACATTTTATATTTGTTATATAAATATATCATTATTATAAATGCACAGAAATTTTTGCTTTGATACATTAGGTTTAACAAATGTACCAAAGATAAATGCATGTACATGTATATTATGATCTAAGGACAAATTTGGGAAAATATTGCAAAGATTATTTCATAATTTGAAATCAAAAGTCACATTCTTTATTTATCGCAATGATTTGTTTATATTTGGGGGGGGGATTATGAATGTGATTAATTATTTTTCATTATGTAAAAGCTTCATAAATATATATATTTACATGTATCCATATTTTATAAAACTTTCATCTCTACCACATATTACTTTGGTTAAAGGAGAAATATAAAAATCATCACTATACCATTGCTATAATATTTGAAATTGGTAATATGAGGTACAGCAATTAAAACTTGAAGATGCATTCTTTGGTACATGTGTGTATGTAACTTTATACAAATAAATTGAATATCTCTTTAGTTAGAGGTAAGAAGGAAATATCCAGAAGGAAAAAATGAAAATTGTGAAGAAAAAAAAATATCTTGGTCCCACCTCCCAATTTAGGAGGCTGGTGAGGTGTTCCTTGGTATGGTTTCACTGATATAAAGATCAATAGACCGAATTTTTATCCTATCTTGGTTTGTCATTAACCGCCTGGATATCTCCTCTTGAATATAAATGGCAACATGCAAATACACCAATATACAAAGCAATCATGCTAAATATTGTTTAATTTGAGTGTGAATACAAACAAGACAAAGAGCAAGAAACACTTGTAAAAACTTCTAAATGCAGGAAAACAGAAATGGACTTCATCCAATCTGAAAGAGGTGGTAAAAATCAATGTAAACAATACACTGCAATTAAAAAGGAAATTGAAAGCTGAATCTCGTTGTTCTCAAATCATAGAGATATAACAAGTCTTTTAATGAATATGTAAAGGAAATCATTTTACTCCTTGAAGCAAACCTAACCATTATATAATAATAGTAAAATTTTGCTTTAAAAATATAAATTAAAATTGGTATCCACCATTTCAAACTGAATAAGAAAATTCACTAGTGGTAGTCATTGTGCTAAGCAGGTTAAGCAACATTGAACTTTGAAAACATTAGCATATGTCATTATTATGTACAAGTATATATGCGCACAAGAGCCTTGTTCAGATATGACACAATTAACCACTTTTGATTAAAAGCTGCAAAGAATAAACCATAAAAAAGACAAATATCAGTGGGTACATGTATATATATATATATATATATATATATATATATATATATATATATATATATATATATATATACACTGTAGATCTATGTTGCACACATCTCATTTTATTTTTATTTTTACCTCCACTTGGCATACATTTAAAGGTAAAATGGTCTCTATGATTGCAAAATAATTTTCTTTCTGAGGTGGTTTATAGCATCAAATGTGAACATGGCTAGGATGTGCAAGAGAGCAACTTACTACAAGTGCTGGAGAAAAGTCATTCTGTCACACAAGCAATCATAAGAGTGTGCATGTGAACAAACTAAAGCAATGCACATTGAAAAGCAATTTGTAAAGGCAAGCGTCAAGTTTTACACAAAGGAGGATGTGTGGGTGCAAAATACAGTGTTAACTCTTATTTTAAGAAAAACGTGTTTCGTTGATATGATTGCTAAAGTGCTAAACTATAACTCATGTCATATTCAATTTTAAAAGGGTTGATGAAATAATAGTTAGAGGCATCATATAGCCATCTATTATCTTCCAAATTCTCTTCGTCTTGCAACAGAAAATTTGTTGGCTGGCACTGTTAAATTGACCCCCTCACTTTTAATAGTGATAGATCAAATATACATCAAATAAGAGAACTAAATTGTGAAAAGTAAAATGTAACATTGACAGTATAAAATGGGTCTAACAGCAATGTGAAAACAGTCAACAATAGAGAATCATGCAGGGATTCCCTAATGCGTTTAGAATTGAGGATTGTTTGAAGGTTCAAGATATCAAATGTGTTGTACTCCTTAGCTTTAACGTCTTTGTGTGCAGTGCATGAAACTGCATTAGTGTCTAGATAGAAAAACCTTACATTGTACATTGAACAAATTTACATTCACATGAAACGTCTTTAATATTTGTATGATTCGTAACCAGGCATGTTTCCAAAGCCTCTTCTGCTTTGCACATGAGAAGGAAAAAACACCTGCTTCTACATGTATGGCAATGTGTTACATTGACATTTTGAAGTGACAGCAAAAAGCACAGTGCATAAAGAAATATTTTCACAAGACTAACACTTCCTGTATAACAAAACATAACCCTGAAAAGCATGAACTTGCCACAATGTAAAACAAGAACAAAACACTTAAGGATAACCACTTCTTGCTTTGAATACATTCATGCATGGAATCCAATAGAAATGTAATTGCAACACTGATTTGCTTTTTCTTTCTGCTCATACCTGACAGTTCCGAAGAAGAAATTAATGAAAAATGAATGAAGAAAAAGAAAAAGTAGAAATAAAAATTAAAATAATCTATAAAATAGTAAAAGTGTTTTATCACCTCAATATTTTTCTTCTTAATGCCTCAGATAAATTTTTTCATACCGTAATTAACGTTGTATAAACCGCGCTCGTGTATTAACCGCACCCCTCTTTTTCGCCCTTAAAAAAAAAAAAAAAAAAAAAAATTTGCCGAGATTTTATTTTTTTGTGTGTGTAAGATCATTACGGTAATGTAAATTAAAAAACAGTAGGGACCAAGGATAGAACCTTGTGGTACACCATGTAATAGAAGAAAAATAGGAGGAATTTTTATTATAAACTACATATTAAGATCTATCAGAAAGATTACTTTCAAACCAAGATGACAGACAAATTTGAGTGTTGTTCTAGTTTCCGAGTGGTGAGTCAACACACCAATTTTTTTTTTTTTTTTTTTTTTTTTTTTGGTGTACCGTGTATAAGCCGCACCCCCGACTTTGAATTGTTTTCGGCGGCAAAAAGGTGCGGTTAATACACCGTTAATTACGGTAGTCCTTCTAAAAAAAAATTTCAGATACAATTTTTTTTCTCTTTCGCAACCATTTCTTGACAAGTGCAAGTGCACAATCATGTATACACTACCATCAGGTGAATGTGCATTACATACAGCTGTAAACACAAACTATTTTCAAACTTGCATGTAACAAATATACATGTAGAAATAGAATGTGGTGCTATCAATTAAATTTGATATTTTGATGCTGAGAATGTTTGCTAATCTACAGTGTGATAGACGAAAAAATACTAATTACATGTGTGAATGTGCTTTCTAATAAAACTCTGTTTAAAACATGAAAATTGAAAATAAAAACATGAACAGGGAGATACAAAAGAGAGGGTAGGGAAGAGGTGCTGGATATACAGTGTATTATGCATGTAACTTGGGTGATTGTGAGATATAACATTGGGAGGGTGTGGTAAATATATATGGATATAAACAAACACTGGTGATGATTAGTGTGGGTAAACAAGTTATACCTCAGCCTTCAAAATCTGGTGGTTGTCTTGTGTTGCATACTGCTTTTGTTCCAGCTCCCTTTTAACTTGTTCTAGCTGCGTGGTTTAGTTAGGAGCAAGTCAATTACTTCACAACAATGCCTAATAAATTGATTTTAAATCTTCATCATTAACAGAAGAAAGAATATAGTTAGACATTCGCTTCACAGTGCTTGTTTTGTATTCCCCAGATTATCTAAAGTGGATCATTTATGGACACGGTAGTTCATATTCAGATTGTGTGAAATTACCTTTAGAGATCGTGCCTAATGCAAGAAAATGGGGAGGAATACTATTTTCCCGAATTTCATGATGAAAGACAGGCAATATCCTACAGGTAAGAACTGTATGGCAACAAAGAGTTTGTTACCAACACAGATACTGTACATCAAAACTTATATCAACACATTATTTTGCACATTATAAATCACATTTAGTCTATATTATCATGCATAAACTTCCAAATCCACTCTCATAAAGCCCTTCAGTAAACCAGGAAGAAACCACTGAAGTGGTTATAGTTAATATAAAATATTTCTCAGTCATTTTTTACAATGACAAATGAGAGCCCAAAATGAATGAACCCATGTTATTAATAGACTGGTACATTAAACACTGTTAGCAATCCAAATTGAGCATGCATTAGTTTACCTCAAGCGATACCCAGTTACCCACACAGACTACTAAAGGAAATAACAATGGTATCATCATGAAAGAACTAAGTAAATCAGAATTAACCCAAGTTTGCATACAAATATATATGTCCTTGTCCAAACAAATAAGCTAAATGGCTTCTAAATACTAAATATATATGCAAATGCTTAAATTCACGAAGTATCTAAGAGTACCCCCCCCCCCCCCCCCCCCCCCCCCCCCCCCAAACACACACAATCTGGGTCCAAAATGACATTTAGCTCTGAATTTCAATTCACTTGCATTCTACATGCATGTACCTTTAGTCCTATTAATCTCAGATTGTTTTATTGCAAAATTACAATGTAAAAATCAAACTTTATCAAAGTGTTTTTGCAATTAATGCTGCAAAATTCAGAATAGTTTTCAACAAGTATAGCTTTGCTATTTCACCTTTCAATTCACATTTGTTCTACTCTTTCTCTCTAAAAAAAAGGCTAGAAATATGCTCTTAAATATCACATCAAGGCAAGCCATGCTCCATGACAAGCTCTTGACTTGACTGCAATTTAATCTACTCATTTTCCCCTTCCAACTTGAAGTATTTCCTTTTTATGTTCAACCTTTAACATTTACAGTGCTAAATTTAAAGACATGTAGAAACTTTCATGAGAGAGAAACAGCGTATGATATTTAACTTTACCATTTATAAAGTAACTTTGGATTTCAAGGGAATATTATGCATTCCTTTTTCAAAAATATTAGATTAAAAAAAAGTTTTCAAAAGATAATAATAAAATTGGGTGCAAATTGAACCATTTACCTTCTGCAGTTCAGGAAGGGTCAGATATTTGATTGAAACTGAATTCATATCCTCATATCAATTGTGAGTTGTTTTATGCAACAAAAAATTTGAATGGAACTTGTTTTAACATGATTGGTAGTGTAGATAAATCTTATAAAAATTCCTTGATTCTAGCTAGGATGTCCTGCACAGCTAATTTTGATCTACTTGGGTCACATCATGACATTATTTATCCATGCAAGACAAACATTATGAAACACTTACCTCCATGTTAGATTCCCTTTGTTTTGTGTTCAACATTGTGATGGTCTGAAGATGGTTAGATTTCTGTGAAGGAAAAATATGAGTAATAGGAACAATTAACAAAGTGTGTGGACAAGATAACCAAGATAAACTTCGTATTGAATCTACAACTCAGCATAATTCAAATATGAGCAAGCAATGTACAAACAGCACAATGAAGACTGCAGCATTACAATGAACTCAGGCCTGGCAGTTCTTGCATCAAGGACTGTGTTTTATTTACACTCATCAAAAAAGAAAAATTAACCCCAAGTTCAAAATGATTTTCAACCAATCAGAATCACACCGATTGCCAAAATGTAAGACTCCGGAACCATTACCGGTAGTTAAACCACTGCAAGAAGGAAAAAGTTTTCAAATATGGCATCTTCTTAATCTAAATCACAATCCCTCCTTCTACAGTGATATCTAATGTCCATTTACACTGGTACCATGAAAACATCAACCTTTAATATCATACTACCTTCGATCATTACAGATTATATATCAACAAGTGTTGACACCTGTTCAAAAAATGAGATGAAACTGAATGCCAGAAAGACAAATATTGACAATGCAACAATGGAATACATTGTTGGTACAGTCAAGTCAGGTTAAAGAATCTAGGGGTACACTGTTGACTGTGTGATGTTGAATCTTCATTATTCATGACTGATCAGTAATTTGACAGGCCTTATTTATTAAATTATTAATTGGGGTTGACTGATCTAATGTACACATGTAAAGGTTGGTCCACTTCAGTGTGTATATTGTACGTGTTGTATGACTTACAAAGTAGAAGAGCTAGGATGGGAAGCCAGGGTTGTTTTAGTGATCCATCAATCCCACACTTCATATATCTACATGTAGCAAGCATTCTACACATTTTATTCATTAAGTTTAGTTAATAAGATGTCTATTACACCTTTTCTACTTTTTTTCTCATTTCAGAAGATCTCTGCAAATAAATTTACAAGGTCTTCTTCATTGATAAAAATAAGTTGAAAATATGTTAATTCCTAATCTCGTTTTGGTTTTACAAAATGATTATATTCCTTTTCATATTTTTTACAATTTGTTAGAAATTGCTTTTGGTAATAGGAAATGAGCAAGATCATCCTATTTTGTGACACTTCCCTTTAATGTGCATTACATAATGTTTTATTTTTATTTTAATTACTTTCTTTAAATCTCTACACCTTTCCTACACACAATAATATTGATTTTTCATTCCCCCCTCCCTCCCTCCCTCCATTGTCGCATAAGGGAAGATAACAAAATATAAAGAAAAAAGAAAATTACACTAAGTTTTGACGTCAATTGCTATTGAACTCAAACAATTCTAATACCACTGCTAATTGATTCTTTATGACCATAAAGGCAAATTCTTCTTTCTCTTTTTATACCATGAATATTTGTTACATTAAAAAAAAAAATTCTTATAACATAAGCTGATATTTACCTTACAACTTACAGTGAAACTAAAGGAATTACTTCTTCATTTCAATCTTGTACAGTCAACAAAGCATTTGTATGTTTTATATAGAACAAAATAAAAACAATATTTGAAGAAAAAGGCAATATCTAATCAAACATGTCAAAAATCAGCCAAAGAAGGGGTGTTTTGAACATGCAGGTATGACAAAAACAGAAATACATCTGAGATAAAAATGCAGTCTTACTTCTGATTCGAGCAGGCTCATTTCTCTCTCTATCTCTTGAATTGTTGCTTGAAGCTGTTCATTGGACTTCTCCTGGTCCTTCCTCTGCACAAAAACAAAAAAAATTGTGAAGTTACAAGGAAATTACCTTACCATTACAGTCAACACTCAAACGATCTATAACAAGATTACATCTAACAAACAATGCCAAGGAAATAAATCTCATCTCATCTAAAGCTTTTAATCAAGGACATGTGATACACTCTAGTTGATTTACTTTTATTTGTATTACGCACAATGTACGTAGGTTATAAAGCATTTAGCCTCATTAATAAACGAAGACCCTTAGAGCTATCCTAGCAACCAATTAATGAACTCCATTCTTCCTACACACAAAGGAAAGGTCAATCTGATCGGTCAAGACTTACCATTTCCATCTCATCAGCAAGGCCCTGTTCAGACTGCCTTAGCTCTGTCTTTAGCTTCATGATAGTAATGTCCTTGTCCGTTTCACTGACCATCCTCTGTTGCTCACGGTCATGCATGCTGGCTAGACTGGACTGTGTTGATCCAAGCACTACGTCTCGTCTTGCCAACTAGTATAAACAAGAAATATTTCACTACACTACATAAACATGTACATGTACTATTGCTATTAATGCTTATTGGATTTCTTAAAGGTGAAATCAGGAAATATAATGAGTAAAAGAGACAACTGAAACGTGATGACAAATTCAGCCATCAAGTACATAATATAGCATATCGTATTAGCTGCCAAACACTTAAACCCAGCACTTAAACAAGACATTACCTGCAAAGTCTTTCTGAGATTTTTCTGTAAAATAAAACATTCAAGTATTTTGCAAACAATCAAAGACGGAGCAAAAATTGGAAGTACCGGGTAACCATAAATAAAGATAAAGAGGACATTGCAAAAATGAAATATTAATAAGTTGTAATGCATAAAAATAACTGACCATGGCAGTATGACTCACATGTAGATGAACCAGTTTCCATCATAAACAAAATTACACTTCACACTGATAGAAGACACGCATTTTACAATACAATGCAATGCAATCATTACAATCATACTGCGATCCTAAAAACTATTAAACTGTTGTTTCAAAGTACCATACAACAATACATTTTCAAAATGTGAGAGAATCAAGTATCAAAATTGATCACAGAAAAAAATTAGAAATAATAATAATTTTTAAAAAGGATATTTAGAAAAAAAAAACATTTCTCTTGAAGACATTCAAAGGAGACATGTACATACTTGATCAATGGCAGTCTTCTGTTCTTCTCTCATGTCTTTAAGTTGTTCTTGAAGTTCACCGATCATCACATCACGTTTAGCAAGCTGTGTCTTCAAGTCTCCAATATGACCTTGTAAGATCTGCTCTGAAGACTTGATGCTATCTCGGAGTGATACAGGGCCAAGGACCTGCTCTTCTTGAACCACTCGTAAGTCAAGTGAAGAAAACTGCAAGGGTAGATGTACATAATAGAAGCAGGTTATAGGAGCATGCAGTACTACATGTAGTTTACAACTGGATTTTTACTTTTTTATGTTATGTTTCAATGGACAAAAGAATTCCTTTCTCAATTTTATATAATTGTGTTTTAAATAGTAATACATACAACTTTTTTTTGGGGGGGGGGGGGGTGGGGTAACACAAAGATGTATCATGTACATGTATGTAATGTATCAACTCATTTTTATGACAAAATTTGGCTTCATCATGAACAATAAAAATATTTTTGTACGTGTAAATTCCAATAGATCAATACAATAGCATCGAACTTACCTCCCATTTTCCTGTAGCTCTGGCCTGGGTGATGACCCCAATGAGAACATTGAGGTCATGTCGGAGGTCATTGTTTTCATCTCTCAAGCCAGCTGTATCTTCAGTTACACGGTCATAGCGATGACGTAAATCCTTGAAAAACAATATCAAAATCATTTATCACAAAATAAAATCTTTCATTTTATAGGTGTATACAGTGCCAAGAAATTATATCTCTTGTACATGTACCATGACAGATTTCATTATTACATGTTAAATTAAAAAGCTTATGATAAAGCATGTACAAAAGGGCCCCTCCTATCATCCTGAATAATAAAAAGTCTACAATTTTAGTTTGATAACTGAACAGAAAGAAGAATACAAAAACATGATCCAAAAACATATTATGTGTAGTAGCAAGGATCTTCAAATTAGACTCTGTTCATATCTTACATAGATTCCAGTTTGAACATTACAACTCTGTTCTCAAAGGGTTGATAGCCTGTTACCCAACCATCTGCAGACAAGTACTTTTACATATTTTTCAAAATTTTAGATGGGAGTTCTTAAAATGTTATTTTCTGCCACGCTATTCTATCCAGGCAAGTATATATTTTTGGCCAGCGAAAAGGATGCACTCCGATACAGTACTTTTACATAATTAATACCTTTCCAAATGACGTAAAAAGTAATACATGAAGATATGATGAAAGTACATGTATGGTTCATCATTTCAACACTGAGCAGAATTATATTGCACATATACCATCATTGCATGTACATGTTCTGTAGAACAAGGTAAACTGACAGGCGTCTGATTTTCAGAAAGTTTGAAGAATTAGAGCTATCATTATGAAGCCAAATTAATTAAAACATGTTCATCTTTAAAGAATGTACCTCTTTCCATTTCGGAATCAAAAGATATTCCCAAAAAAGTAGAATCATATACATGTACAATGGTTTACAAATCATCAAGTTTCAAAATAAAATCTTAATACACACAGAGTAGATGTCCATGAAGGTTTATATGTAGCATCCTAACAATTTTGATACAAAACTAGCTTGCAACAATGTAAACTGCTTTCATCACAATCTGCAAAACACACAGTGCTATTATATTAAATAAATTGTATTGAGCATCTTATCTTAATCTGAACTTACATCCAGGGTCTGGAAAGCTGATGATTTCTCAATAGCAAGGGCTTTAACTTCATGCTCCATGCTTCTCTGCCTGCATGCCGTTTCCTAGGAAACAAGATATCATTGCAAGGCACAAGAGATAATGAGTGAAGGGGAAGGAATGGATGGTAGGTGAGAGAAAGAGAATAAAAAGAGTGGACATTATTATCTAGATAAGATGTAAGTATCTGTTTGTCTCCTTTCTAAATTATTCCCCAGTGGCTTATTAGGAAGAGATACTGGTATACATAAAGTCTTTCTTTAAAAATGGAAGTGAAAGTACAATGTATAAACTGTTTACTATGAATGCAAGAGATTTAATGTTAAATAATATAAATGAAATATTAACTACATGTACATGTACTGTAAGATGGTAGGCAGAATTTTGTGTTCACAATTGACCCTTGCAATTACTTTTTCAGGAAAAAATGAAAATGTGTACATGTAAATAACAATTTAGCATGGCATGTTTATTATACTTCCCATGTACATGTACTGTATATGTTTCAAGCCTATCAACTTTAAGAGTTTGGCTGTATAGTGTATTTAATTATCAACTCTTAACAAGATGAGTAGATCCATTCACAAGAAAGTTTGCTTTGTCTATAAATACTACACAATATGTTCCACATTACAGCAACCTACTTTAAACACCTTTGTTCTAGCATAGCTTGGTTTCAAGCCAATCAACTTTAAGAGTTTGGCTGTATAGACAATGTATTTAATCATCAACTCTTAACAAGATGAGTAGATCCATTCAGAAGGAAGTTTGCTTGTCTAAAAATACTACACAATATGTTCCACATTACAGCAATCTACTGTACTTCAAAAAACTTCATTCTGGCATAGCTTGTACTATTAGCTTATTTTCTGTGCAGTACGAAATCACAAATTACACATGTACATGTACATGTTTGTGCCCTTACACTGTCATATTTAATGAAAAAATCAAAACAAATGTTAATCTATTATTTTTTTCCCAACCCCTCCCAGATTCATATTCAAAATTACATTGTGCAGTTGGTTTACATATAAACATGTATCTACAGTAATTTCCTCTCTCTAATTGTCATGAAATACAGATGTCAATAATATCTACCGGTAGGTATTATGCTGTATAGGCCATTACTTTGGCATGTATACAGATATTTTCATGGATGGCAGGAAAAATTGACTTTTTTGCAAGTTGTTGGGTTTCTTTGTGTGTGTGACAGGGTGTGTGTGTGTGTGTGTGTATGAGGGGTTGATATAACTACACGTAAATACAGGCTACTTTCAAGTTCACACAAGCACATGCTAGTTAATTTTCACAAGTTGTATAATTCTTTAAAATGCTCACAAACAGCTCAAACGGCACATCTGGGTTTTTTTTAAATCATTATTACTAACATCATCTCTCTGCATACATGTATCTCAAACTCTCAAAATTTCAAAGGGAAATTCCCTGAGTGCAAAGAGTTGTTATCCCTGACCCATTATTTAGCCTATACTGTATACTTCTGCCCAGTCTCTCTGGTTGCACAGTCTGTTATACATAATACATGTACTGCTTTTAATATTTTGTGTGTGTTGGATTTGGTTAAATTTCCCTTTCTAAAATACACACAAACACGATTATGCATACTGTAGAACAAGTTTCATCCTCCATGATTTCATCAGCTGTAGTATGTGTATATTTGTATTGCCTACAATCAACTTCAAGGTACCATTCTAATTGAGAAATGTTTAATAGGCAAGTCATAAAAAATCAATATCGTGAGATTACCATGGCAATGAAAATAGAGGAAATATTACCACTTGTGTGTGTTGACAGAATGTGTGTCTTATGCAGACATTTGATTGATCATGCAGTATACCTGTGTCTAATGAATAACAGTTTCTCCAGCTTTCGGAAAAAGGCATGAATTAATAATTTCTATCAATCTGTATACACATGAATTCAGTTAATTTAAGCAACTTAAATTATTCAACCATCTGTGTATTGTACAGAAGCGTATTGTGAGTACATGTAGTATACAACACAGAATACATGAACAAATATATCATACACATACAAATTGTGTGTTCAGACGAACACGTATCTGTTCAGATGAACATGTATCTGTTAAGTTTGAAATCTCAGTAACACAATGGGCTTAGAAATCTGATGCTTCATGTGTGCTAATTATCAGATCTGTCACTGTAAACAATACATGTACATGTACGATGATAATTAATGTTTTATTATTCAACAAACATTATCAAATTACATTGTTTTTGTAATAAATGTGTAAATGTAATTACATGTATATCCACCTACAAAAATGTATGTATTTAAACATTAAAATAGGCTAAAATCAACATAAAGATGTACTGTAAAAGTAGAAATACTTGCAGTACATTAAAGTGACTCGGTAACATTGTTGTAGGTTGATGAAAAATCTGTGTAATTTTTTAATGAAATTTTTTATTATTATATACCTTTTACTGTACTGGTAACTCTCTTAACAGGCAAAAAATCTGGAGAAAATTCTCAAACCACAAAGATATTTATGGTTTTCTTTGAAGGCGTCACTGTGCAACACTCTCTAAAAATGATTCACGGTCAAGTCTCCCAACCATTTTAGAATTTTCCCAACTGCTCAGCACGAAAATTAATCTACAGTAGTTGAATATAAATTGCAACATTTTCAATAATACTAACAATGGACATGAATATTAAATGTATTATGCAAGTTTCATAATTCTTCTTTCATCTTTTGTTTCTCTCTCTCTGCCCCCCCCCCCCCCCCACCTCTTGAATCTTTTCCTCTCTCTCTCTTCCTTAACATCTTCACATACATGTACTGTAAATATAATTTTGAATATACTCTTCTGATGAATAGGGGTTGGGTTGGAAATCACTCTCTCTCTCTCTCTCTCTCTCTGTTGCACCCCCCCCCCACCCCCCCCCCCCCAACCTCTTGAATCTTTTTCTCTATCATACCTATCTCTCTTCCTTAAAGGGATCCGGTAACTTTGTCGCAGATTCTGAAACAAAATCCTGGATTTAGCTCATGCTGCAATGATAAGTATAAACCTTTAGGTCAGCCAGGAACCCCATGACTTTTACAAGTCGATCGCCTGTCTGATTATCAAGATATTTATGATTGGAATTACAAATTTTTAAAACCGTTTGCCAAACGGTTTTCATAATACTACAGTCTATTGAGGAAAACTAGTATGGTAAAACCGGTCACTCAAAGATTTTTACTTTTGTTGAGGCACTTCTTGATCATTTTGAAGCGCAATTTTTTTAGGGCTTTAATATTACACCATATCACAGGCACTGATATCACGTAGGGCCGTGCATCTCAGATTTAACTTTGTTAAACGATGCCTTTAACATCTTCACATACATGTACTGTACATGTAATTTTTAATACTCTTTTGATGATTATACGTTGGGTTGGAAATCACTTGTTAAGAGGACAGAATTGCAGCTGACCGGCCTAACTGAACACAAGGTTCAATGACATCCATGAGAGATTATCATGCAAGCAAACTAAACTTCATATGAATGAGTGTCTAATAAACACTTCAAAGTATAAAAGTACTCATAAACAATTACCTACAATCACTCATTTCTGGTTAGGTCATGATAAATACTCACCCAAAAAGCAAGAAGAATTGACATTGATTGGTCTTACAATGACCTGAAATGTAAATGAATCTACATGTGCATGTACCTACATGTAAAAACCTCTAGTTATGGAAAAGGGAACCTTGTGATGTAGTGGTCTTTCTATGTACATGTAGGTAGACGCTCAATGAAAGCTGACTGATTGTTTGGGAAGTGTACACCTGTACATCATGTGGCAGTATCAGACAGAATACTTAAAAACAGTTAAACAGATTTTTTTAATAATTGTTTTACTTTGCTGATGTACAGTCCACATGTACATGTTTAAAATTAAAACTCAAATTGATACAACAATAACTTAGGAAATACTAAATAGTTTTCTTTACTAAAATTTCTTATTTCTCTAGAAACTTCATCAATAATTTATCTACTTCAAGTTCTACACAAGTATGTATGATTACCTTTTGGTTTTGAAGCAGTCTTGTTTCTAAAATGATGACTCTATCATTGGCCTCCTTTTCCAGTTCTTCCACCGTCTTCACCAAGATATCATTCTGCTCTGAGAGATCACTCACGTACGATTGTAGTATGCGAACTTTTTTCTATGAGAGGAAGACAGCCAGAGAAGAGCAGAGTGATTAATAAAACAAACCACATGGCATGTGCCTAGTTAGTATCTACAATTGGATAACAAAAAATTCAAAGGGAAGTCTAGCATGGCATCAGGTTGGTTAATATTATAGTATTAATGACTGCTTTGAGAGAAATAGTTGTTTTATTACGCTCAAGGGAAGGTTAGAATTGTGCTATTCCCCGAGGCTTGCCGAGGGGAATAGCCCAATTCTAACCTTCCCGAGAGCGTATGAAAACAACTATTTCTCGAATATTAAAGCAGTCATTAATACTTTTATATGCCGAAAAAAAATAGACTAAAAAATAAAAAATAAAAAATACTTTTTTTTTTTGTCGAAGGTGAGAGTCGAACTCTTGCGTACAAAGAGTGATGAATCTTACACCAACGCCTTACACCACTCGGCCATCGCGCGCTGTTCACCTGCTTGGCAGTTTTGTACAATATATACATTAAAATGGATTGAAACCGGCTTCGGCGTGATGAATGCTTCGCAAAAGCACCCTTCTTTTACTTTTGCAATGCATATTGGCACGAACTTAGATCAAGATCTATCGGCAGATGTTGTTTTTTTGTTTTTGGAAGTTTATTTTCGTCTTCATGTCAACAATGCAAGATAAAATTGTCGGTAAGATCGATCGAGATTCAATTGTATTGAAATTACCGACCAATCCTTCGCACACATACGGTATCCTCGATCGCTCAAACCATTTTTTAACATGTAAACTTATGGGGTAACCATGGAGGCTGACCTATTTTTTAATAACCATGGTTATTAAAAATATTAAATGTTTTATGCATGGTTACCGGGAATTTTACAGGAACAGTTGAAGTTTATGAATGCAATTTGACCAATCAGATGGCTGGATTTCTTAAGTGAGGTATATAATAATATTTAATAAGGACAGGAAAAGGATAACCAGAAAAAATAACGCATACGCACTGTGCTATCTGTGTACCGGTACATGTATTACCGTAGTCCACAATGATGTGAAGCCCTATAAGCTTATCAGCATTTTAGCCGACTGACTCTCTCATGTCTGAATGGGCCTCAAATAAGGCTTAATTCATGCCAAATCTTATTCACTTCATCAACGTTGTGAATTTCATCACACCGCATTTCATTTGACATTTCCTTTATAGCTTCTCAGATGATATGATGCATTCATTTGATTAATCATAGTTTCCTTCCTGTCTTTACCCCGTCAACTTTTCTCTAACTCTCTCTCTCTCTCTCTCTAATTCTCTCTCTCTCTCTCTCTCTTTCTCTCTCTCATTACTTAGCCTTATTCATACATGTACATGTACATCTGCAAATGCCCAAATAGTAACTTAGGGATACATATAATTTGCCTTTAATAGTCCCTGTTCACATTAGCTGCAGGTTATTTTTGATATTGTACTACATGTAGTACAATAAGACTATTTAGTATACCGGTATGTTTTCTTTTACAAAGTTAAAACAAATTATTTTGTATTTTTATTTTTTTTAATCAAAAAATCTAAAGGAAGTACATGTACATGTACATGTAGGAGAGAAAAGGGAAGCGGTTTGGGACAAGAAACTTGGAAACAATTTGTTTTGGCCTCATATCTCATTATTTCTCCATAATAATGATACTGTGAAAGCCATAAATTCACTTATCTACATGTACTATTAAACGCAGTGCATTTCAGTTAGCCACAATGCAATATACATTTGATGAAGAATAGCAAACTTAATTTACTACACGTACTCAAAAAGAAGTTTCTTAATTATAAATATACTACAGAGCAATTGATCTGACCAGCGACATGTATGGGGGGGGGGGGGGGGGGCACGCTTCACTGCATGAGCAACTATGTAACTGTGTATTTTTTGTTATGGATAACAAAGTGTTCACATCTTTAGTGCATAATAACGCATATATCTACCCGGTTGATGCCTGCCTGCTACATACATGTACATACACATTTATCAGGCAGGTAGATTTATTAAGCTATAAAGCATTATTTGCTTAATTACATGTAAAAGCAATCCTATCAGGAGGGGAGGGGGAGGGGGAGGGGGAGGGAACCACAAATGCAGAAAGCCAAGAACAGCATCACTGGTACTTGTTTGCACCGCCACTATTGATCGCACATCCATAAAATAGCAGCAGCTCACAAAATGCATTTGTCGGATGCAGTATATCATGTACTGTAGGCAGCACACTGGCACATACAGGGCTTAAATTAATCCAAGGCCACCAAGGCCATGACCGTGGATGCCCCTTTGAGTGGCCTCAATGCCCTTCCCATCGGCCTTAGAGATTTTTTGTGCCCTTTCCAATTCTTCCTATTTGTGCTGTAATATAGGAATGTGCCCTACAGAAAAGTGGCCTTGCCCTAAAAATATTGAAATTTAAGGCCTGCACATACATGTATAGATGAGAAAAAGGTTACTTTAATAATGAATACATTGATAATACTTTCTTGTATGACCTCCAAGATGACCTAAACAACCTGCACAGACGGTCTGAGAGATGGCAGTTGCCTTTTAATGAGTACAAATGCAAAGTCCTCCACATCGGCAAGAGAAATCCTGAAGGAAACTACCACATGCAAGGGAAACATCTGCAATCAGTGAAAGCTGAAAAGGACCTTGGAGTGACAATTGACTGCCAGCTGAAATTCCATCAACATGTATCATCAGCGGTCAGTAAGGGATACCAACTACTGGGAATAATGAAAAGAACTTTCTCGAAACTGGATAAGACAACACTACCGATACTTTTCAAGACCCTAATTAGACCACACCTAGAATATGGGAGTGTTCTTTGGCATAGCAGATATAAAGAAGATGCAAAGAAAATCGAAAGAGTGCAAAGAAGAGCTACCAAATTGGTTCGAGAAATCAAGGACCTCCCATATCAAGAACGACTTAAATACATGAACATGTACTTTCTGTTCTACAGAAGAAGAAGAGGAGACATGATCGCAGTCCACCAGATCATGCACGGACTAGTTGACATCCCACAAGATAATTTCTTCTCCCAACCTGCAAGTAGAAGCAGATCCACGAGAGGGCACTGTCTCAAAATCCAGAAAGAACACTGCAGACTGGATGTTAGAAGTAAGTCTTTCAGCAGACGAATAATACAAGACTGGAACAGTTTGCCAGAAAATATAGTGGTCTTGGCAACAACTGATAAATTCAAAAGACACATAGATAAGCATTGGTGGGAGTATCGCTTTGATCTCCCATGACTCCACTCCTGTGCATGCGCATACACTTAGTAATAGGCTAAACCTAGAAGCAGTGACCGGGAATTACAGTCCAATGCCTTCTTCCTGTACCAGATGATGATGATGATGATGATGCAATCTTGCATCAATAATCAGTTTCTCCTAGAGAGGCTAGACTTTCTCTTCTCGTCTTTTTTTTTTCTCTTCCACATCAAAAATTGTGAATTTAGTATAGATCTAGGCCAAGATCTAAAATGATTCAATGAGTGTTCTGCAATGGTCATGTCAACTTACATGTTTTCGCGCTTGTGCGTTGTAAAAAAATGACACTGCCACATTTTCTTCTTCTTCTTCTTCCAACGGAGTAGGTCTACATCCCTCTTACAGAGTACGTTGTACTGTGTGCAGGTGGACCACTACTATATTTTTCCCCTAGATCTACTCTTATACGAATAGTGCAGTGGGTTCTTAACGTGCAAAGGTGGTGACTCTCCTCTACACAAGGCCTCCATTTAACATCCTATCCGAGGATCAGAACCATGAACAAATCTAGATCTAGTAGTCTAGTATAGATCTAGATCTACTTTATCTAGTCCAGATCTAGACCAAATTTTTCTGTCTCTTTCGTTCGTTAGCCTCTGATTTGGGTAGGGTCGGCTCTCTCCTTAGAGAGCCGACCTACCCAAATCAGAGGGAGCCGACCTACCCAAATCAGAGGCTAACGAACGAAAGAGACAGAAAAATTTGGTCTAGATCTAGTCCCTAGTCCAGATCTAGATGATGATCTAGTCCTGTCGGAAGTGTCCTCCATGACCATGACCATGTGCTTCGTATCCGTGTCTTTATATGGACTAACAAGTCTGTCGACATGTATTGAAGAAGAAGAAGAAGAAGAAGAAGAAGAATTTTGATGTCATGATGTCAACAAAAATTCTTGTTGCACCAATTTGTAGCCTAAAATTTTGCTAGATCTATTTGTTTTGTAATATAATGCCGGGTTGTATAATAAAATGATAAATCATTGTAGATCTAGACTACTATGTAGTGACAATGATTCATTTAAAACAACAAAGTATAGATTCTAGGCCTACAAAGGTTTTTCATCCCGCTAATTTGGCCAATTTGGGGCATGTTATTGTCGGGGGTGTGTTTTTTTTTACATTGTCTCAAACTCTCATTTTTCGCCAATCTTATTCTAGAGTCTAGATTCTTACCCTGCTTGTATCATCGCCTAGCTCTGCTGAGCCTTCCAACTTCCTTAGTCGCTCTGTATAGACATCTTTTATATCAGACAACAGGCTTTGCATACTTTCATTCGCCATACTCAAGCTTCTAACGGAATTCCTCGAATCTGACTGCATTCTCAACATACCGTCGGTTGACAAGCGGGACAACGAATTGTTGTCCTCCCCTAGCCCTGTGACTGGGCGTCTCGTTCCAGTGTCACTCCGCTGAGACTGTGGTACATTGCTAATTTGTCCGAACCTTGCAGACGATGATGAAACTGCCCCGGTTCGCGATCTACTACGTCCATTTTCTGCCATTTTTATTTCATTGAAACAACCAAAGAGTTCCAATTAATTCAATTTATTTTCACTATTGATTCACTACTAATTGTGATGCTGGATAATGAAATGTTTCGGTGAGCTGAGAAGGCTGCCATATTTTCGATGTCATATCGGGCGCTCTATTCAGACGCGTAACGGTGAGATTTGATTGGTTGATCGTAGCTATAGCCGCTATGTGTAGTGCAAGGCAAGCTCGGATCGAAGATATAGTTTTAAGAAAATGTTTGTATCATGAAAGGGGGTCGGGTCACCAACCACAAATTATTGCGCTTCCACATGCGCAGCACATTCACTACCGTCTAAATCCCGTTGATTCTCGAAAGTCTTGTCCAGATTCTTTACCTATAAAATCCAGGGGCGCGTGCCAAATTCCGGGGCCAAACTAATCAAAAAACAAAACAGGACAAAACGCGACTGCCTCTGATTGATTGATTCATTTTTATTCGCCAAGCTTCCAACATAAAATAATAAAAGATCAAAATTAAGTCAGCTTCAGGGGCGGATCTAGCTTTTTTTGCAGGGGGGGGGGGGGGGGGGAGGGGTTGACCCAGTGGCGGATCCAGGATTTTCCGAAAATTGCGCCGTTTTACTGTTTTACTTTTTTCTTCTTCTTCTTCCCCCCCCCCCCCTCTTTTTCCCCTTTTTTCACTTGGCCGCGCAAGGGGGGTTTTAAACCGCCGACCCCCCCCCCTATATCCGCCCTGAGCTTGAACAGGATAACCCACGAAAGCTCGAGAGCTTATTTCCAATGGGGTGCCCTTAATTTAGTATGGACTGAATTATTCGTGACATATCACACTGAAAACAAAAGTCCTATATAATAGATCAAAATGTATAATCAAATGTCAACCAACGACTTATTCTTGACCTACTAGCCTGAAAATTTAAATTGATAAAAAAGCGCTACGGTCACCTAGTTTAGATAATAGCGATAGCAATTAAAAGCTTAAAACCTCAAAATTTCAGAAATTGACCTCTTTGAACGTTGACCTATTTATACAATTTTTGTCTTACCCTCCCACCTTCCTTTAATTAGTGTGTTACATAAATCTTAGTTAAAACAGAAAACAAAATGATGGACAATGCAAAGTAGGGTGTGGGGGTGCTTTCCACCCTGAGGAATTAGACATGCACAAAACGATGGAAAATTATATTGTCTGTGTATAGGCCTACACAAAGAGTGATGGAAGACCCCCCCCCCCCTACCACCATCACCCCCATCACCCCGAGAAAGTAGTTTGATATAAATATAGTCGACGGTGAGTCACATCTCACCTTTTGTATTAATATATCGGCCGCCTAGCTCTCTGACTCAAATTCCGGCTAATGGTGAAAGCCTTTCAATTCTCAAGAAATAACTAAATGGATTCTAAAAAATAAATATCTTTTAGTTGTAGGAAATTAGTGGCCTATCATAGTTACTAATACTTTGCTCATGAATGAGAGTAAATAGCCATGTAGTCGCCGCCCTCTCTTTTGATCCCGGACCCTAAGTCAAATTTGCTTATAATAGGGCGTGACCACCAAACCTGCCGCTTATTTTACAAAAAATGAACAAAATTGATGTGATTCTGCATAATGAAACGACCGCCTCGTCTTCCACTCGGAATCCACTGGTACATCGGTGTCCTTTTCATCTTTCAATCTCTCTCCTTTATCCCCCCCCCCCCCCCTTCTTCATCCCTTTCTCCCTTCGTCTCTCTTTTTTCCTCCTTTCCATTCCGTTTCTCATTTCTCTTTCTTTTTCTTTTACTATAATTATTAACTCTTTTCGCCCTATATAGAGCTCACGCTTAGCATGCGCGATGGATACGCCCCTCCCTTCCCAAGTGGCTTCGTGCCAGGGTAATTAAATGACTCTTTGCTGTTCCTTATTTTGCATCCATAAGACGGCGCCTTTCATTGCCTCTGCATGCGTCGTCTCAAACCAAGGAGTTCTGAGGGCACCCATAAGTAAGATTAACTATAATAAAACAGAACTGACTACGAAGGTTACTATTATGCACCTTCTAGATAGACCTACTTACCTTGATTTCCTCATCTTTCTAAACTCATCACTCGGCCCGTTTGCATTTTTTACCAAAATCCATTGGTACATGTCATTTAGTTGTAATCTTGAACATTCTGTTTACGTTTTGTTGGAATCTGTAATCATTACCAGAACTCAAGTTTTTGTCAGCACAGGTAGGGGAGTGGGCCCAGTGGCGGATCCAGGATTTGCCGATATAGGGGGGGGGGGGGGCCTAAAGTGTGAAAATCGCGCCGACCAATATATCGCTCAGTGTGGTGGGGGTGGGGTTGGGGGGGGGGGGTAGTTAGCATAATTTTCTTTTTCCGTATTTGACCCCGAAAATGAGAAATTCGCGCCGAACAATATTTCGCTCAGTTGGGGGGGGGGGGGGGAGGGGGGGGAGCGGATTGTGTGATCACTTACTTTAAACTTTAACCCCCCCCCCCCTCCCCCCGTGGATCCGCGCCTGAGTGGGCCTTTAAAAAACCTTTCCGATTCGAAATTTTAGCAGATAAGAATATCATTTATAAAAATTTTGCATTTGTGTTAACATTGGAAGAACCTAGGAATAAACTTTGTTTTGATTTCGCCATTAACTTAGAAAAGCATGAATCGTGTTCTTTATGGCTACCAAGTCAAAGAATTGATGAATTTAATTTACGAAATGTACAGAAATATTCTCAATTTATTTGTAAAACCAATCGCTTTAATAATAGCTCTATTCCCTATTTTGTTCGCATCTTAAATGATTATTTTTCAATAAAGTAAGGTTCATGTATTTTGTGTATTTTTATGTTTAATGATGCTGCCTATTACGTGTATGAATGTATTTAGTATATTTATCCTAGTAAATTTTATTTTATGTATAATGCTGTATTTTAACCATCATGATGTTTTTTTACCTTGTATAAATGACCTGCAATTCAGCTTTGGCTACCAGAACGTCATATGAATTAATAAACCCTTATTATTGAATTGAATGGAATTGAAAATCATCCGTTTCTCCACCTCGGTATACAAACTGCTGCAGTGGCTGTGGGTCTATTCAGGTCGAGTCAAAGAATTGTTTAGCGCCATCTTTTGTCAAGTTTAGTGTCAGGAGGCTTTACATGAATTCAGGCTTTCATTTGCTTCCCAAAATTTATAACTCGATATTTCATGATAATATGTAGGGTTGATATTTTACTGGGGGACTCAATATTTCTATATGTTTGAGCATAGACCTATGGTTTGTGAAGATAAACTTATTTTAAAGTGTAAAGTTTTCGAGTAAAAGCGCGAAAAATAAAAATAAATAAATAATTTTTTTTAAATACTTTTATTTATTTATTACGTTTATTTTACTTTTTTTTAAATTTATTTTTTACTTTTTTAAACGTGGCAAAACGTGTGTACGAAATATATATTCGGACTGCACCCCCCCCCGTGCTACATATGCTATGCTTTTTATCCAATTAATAATTTCTCAAAGTCATCAGAAAGGTGTCGTGATATACGGGTATGCTGTCGGAGATGTGAACACCCTTCTCGTCTTGTTTAATTTTTGCACCATCATTCCTACCCCTTTTTTTCCCTTTTCCAACCACCCCCTCCCCCCATACGTTATGGACCGTGGGCATGTATGACACCCTTGCTCCTTGTCTATATTAGACCTATATATATACGCATCTTAATAATGGCAAAATAATGATAATTAATCATGATTAGATCAATTTATATAGCGCAGATATTCTATTCTATATACTGCGCTGTGATGAAACTCCCAACAGTGCTACTTTAAAGACACCAACAACAACAAAAACAAAAAAACATTGAAAAGCTCTTGAAAACTATTGCTTCTTCAACAAAACTTTGAAGACAGCAATAGATGAGGCTTTTCTTATGTCATAGTGGTATAGTCTATTCTAAAGCTTTGGTCGTGTGTGTCAGAGGCGTAATGAGCAAAAACTTTTGGAGGGGCAGACAAAAATCCGCATCACCACCAGATGGCATAATGGGCAATAGACCAGTTCACGGTTAGCACATGGCTGCAATGACCCCGAATATCCACAGATCTTCAAAACATGAAGAGGTCCCACTTTGTACATTTTGAAATTATCACTCCTACAGCGATGGAGATGCTGCATACTTAGCCTTTGTTTCCCCTTTTCAAAGAATACTTCCACCTGTGTATCATGGAGTGCTCTGCTTGTGCATAAATGAATAATGATTACATAACTTTCATGAGCACGTATCCAGTATTCCGTCTCCGTGTATTTCACAATTTGTTCTGCAATGACCTTGATCTGCTCATGCTCAGACTGCAACCGTGAACTGGCTTATTGTTTTGTAAAGGGGGAATGCGGATATTGACGATAACGGTCAAGATGTGAGCCTACAACCTACTATTTAGCTATAGTGAACTGGTTGTTTTTTCTGTTGATTATTTATGAGGCTGGAGTACTTTGCATCTACCCATCTATAACAAATTATTTGATTGCTTATATTAATGTTTTCCACACTTTGAGCAATGCGATGTTAAGTTAATAACCCATCCATTATCCAGGGGCGGTGCACGGAGCGTCTTACAAAGTGGGGAGGGGGCACCAAAAAGGGGCTCTTTCTGGAAAAAAAAGGGGCACTACAAAGGGAAAACTCAAAGTGAAAATATGCCATTTAATAAACATTGGTATATCGGCCTACCCCTACATTTTGGTTACATTATCAGGGATGATTTCAATGTTTGTCTCTCTCTCTCTCTCTCTCTCTCTCTCTCTCTCTCTCTCTCTCTTTACATGGTCCAAGCTACTGTTTATAATAAGCATCGTGATTTACAGTTAGTTGTGATGGTCTGAATATATTTATTTGCGAGCGCTTGAAGTAGATTTGTGAGATCGCAGTGCGAAAAACTATATCTTATAAAGAGGGAAAACAAATTCTAATGGGGTTTTAAGCACAATGTGATCACGAACAACTGAAAATATATTTAATAAGAAGCATAATTAGAACAACTTTAAATTCGAGCAAGCTTTGGGCTAATTTTAAAATTTGCACTCAGTCGCTTTAAAATATGTGCACACTTCATGGTGAAGGGACGGGGAGCACATATCCAAAGGGAAAATGACACCTTTTATATAGAAAAGAAAGGGAGCGCGTGTCTAAGTAAAAAGGGGAATTATCAGAGGGGAAAATCACACAAAATTAAAGATGAGAAAAAACAAAACACGAAAAGTCATGTCATTTTAGCACTGCATAGCGCATTAGAAATAAACCATGTTTTAATTTTATTTTTTTTTGAAGGGGAAACCGCACCCTAAGACCCTCCCCCCTATACTTATACATTTTTTACAAACTGTGACAATATCTTATGGAGAAGGTCATTTTCATACGCATTTTTATTTCTATACTAGTATATACTTTTTGGGAGTGGCGACCAGCGCCCGCTCTCTCCATTGGACAAACGCAAAAGGTTAAAATCCGCGGACGCAACTCGCGGAAGGACAAAAACCGTTGCCACACCAGCGGCAACGGCCTCATAATGGTAACAGGTGATTCCCGTTGTGAAGGACGCTGTACCTCTGTACCCACCGCCGATATGCACGCAAGCCTACACAAATTTACAATGGTAGGCTAATGCGATAAGGCCTGTGGAGCTAGTAGGAGTACGGTATATAATCATGTACATTTGTACATGTAAATCGAACTCATGAAACTTCGATGTAGTCAATCTCGAGATGTACAGACTATTTGAAGACAAATTCTTTACATATTAGTTTCCAAGATGTCTGACAACTGTTACAAGAAAAGAGACCAAAGCCGAGAGGAATATACCGAGCAAGAGAACAGACTAACCAATCGACACATTCAAGCCTTGGGTTTGATGCAAGATATTCATCGAGAAAATGAGGAGTTGAAAAAGCAATTAAAGCAGTTGGAGGTATGATCTGTATCGCGATCTTTTTATTGATGCAAATCATGTTTTGTTTTTTAATTCAATAGCAAGTTAGTAATTATTACATTTAATATTATGACATATTTACTTTTGTTACACTTACAGTGTCTATTCTCATGATTCTGGCTTAGAATTCCAAGGGCATGGCAGAGGGATGGGGAATATTTACTGGTATTTGGTATCTGACCCCCATATTTTGAAGAAGGTAACCAAAAACAAAACAATGATATATTTTCGGGGTGTCGTGGTCTAGTGAACATGTCCCCAGCCCGGACTATGGATCGCATGAGTCCGCGCTACCAGTCCAAGGCATTAATGTCTTCTGGAAGGACCTTATTCTACATTTGCCACACTCCACGCAGGTGTTAAATGGGCCTGGGTACCCGGTAGAATACAAACATTAATGTGGTTGGATGGGCATGTGTGGCATGTAAAATAGCACCTAGCCAGAATACTCCCAAGGGAGTGGAGCATGTGCACCATTAGCCTACATGCTGATCAGGGAATCGATCCAATGACATGGGGTAATGATTGTGACTATTATGTATTATTATTATTATTATCATCATCATCATCATCATCATCATCATCATCATCATCATCATCATCATCATCATCATCATCATCATCATCATCATCATCATCATCATCATCATCATCATCATCATCATCCTCATCATTATATATTTCAATGCAATACAGTAAGTACATTTTTATAGCGCTTAGACTTAGAGACTTTACTGAGAAAGCAGTTCATATTATTTTATTATTATTATTATTGTATAGCAGTCTTACAAACTCAATGTTTCACAGCGCTTCATATCAATACAAAATATGAAAGAATATACTGTTTATACAATGTACAATGTACAATGTACTAAATGATAATAATGAATAATAATATTAATAATAATAATAATAATAACGATATTATTAAAAATAGTAATACTAGTAATATTAATAATAATAATAATAATAATGACAACAATGATGATGATAATAATAAAAATAAACACAATAATAATGATAACGATAATTAAAATGATGAGGATAGTGATGATAATAATTATAATAACAAAGATAATAATAAAGCTAATAATAATTATAATAATAACAAAAATAATAGTGCTTACAAGTAATAAAGAGGGCTATCGTGGTGCAACCGTGGGCTGAATGCATGCCACTGAACATGTTATATTTTGTTGGATCACGTGAGCCCTCTATTCCTCCAAAACGATTAAGCATTTGTATACATTAATTGAGTTAAGTGAATTATAAATTGTGTATTTTACTTAATCTGAAACGAAACAATTTGGCATCCTTATGTCTTATATGTTTTGTATTGTATGCCCTGCTTTGGCAGTTATGAGCCATGACCTGGACTACTCTTATTATATGTTATTATTATTATAAATATCATTATTACTGCTGTTATTGTTAGAGTGTATAATTATCGATATCAGTACCGTTATTGTTATTTAAGTCATATTACTGATATTACTGTTATTTCTATAATCACTTTAATGATGGTAGAGCGATTGCTTTCCAATCAGTAACAATTATACTTGTGATTAAAATTGTGATCAAAACATATTTTACAAATTAGGGATTTTTATTTTAAAAAGCATGACATTTTGAAGAAAAAGTTAAGATCCTTGTTTTTCACTCCTCAAAAGTGCTTGCTCTTGGAGGATAACTATATTCAATATCTGATTGCGATCAGTCAAAATCTGGTAATAGGATTATAAATATACTTAATTTTTTTTAAGTGCATACATCAATGATCTTGCATGTAGAACCCAAGCTTTCAATTGCATGTACACTGCTATGTTGTCTTCATATCATCAAAGATTGACAAGCATCCATATATTTTCCACTATTCTAATGATGTGATGATTAAAATTTTAAATCTATTTCCATTTCTCTTTCCAGGATGAATTGTCAAATTGTGAAGAATACCATCGGATTGCGAAGGATGCTAAAGCTTTTAAGCAACAAGCGCAAGATGATTGCCTCAAAAAGATTGATAGGAACAGTGAGAAACTCAACAGGAAACACAAAGAAGAGGTATTACCTACATAATGACATCACGATCGCCATCATTATAACTACTAAACACCATTGAGGAGGCAAGATGGCTCAGTCAGCATAGAATCTGCCTGTCAAACCAAAGATCTTGGCCCGAATTCACAAAGGAGGTTTGTCGACAAACCTAGGTTTATATGTGCGTCATATGACGCGTTTTGACGCGTTTCAGACCAAGGTTTGTATAAACATTTGTCTGAAATGCATCGAATCGCGTCATATGACGTATATAAACCTAGGTTTGTTGACAAACCTCCTGTGTGAATTCGGGCCCTTGGGTTTGGATGCAACCCATGCAGATGACTGTAGCCTGTTTGAGTTGAATACACCCTGTCCCACAGATAGGATGTATAATGGAGGCCCCATAGGGAAGAGAGTCACCATCTATGTACATTGCAAACCCACAGCAATATAGGGGAAACCCTAGTGTGTTGGTACCCTGGTGTGTTGGTACCAGCCATTGCACATCCTCACTTATACAGGGGGGGGGGGGGGGGGGACGTAAGGGTTACAATAATTCCAATCACTTTTCCACTCGGGCACAGGGGATGCCAAATAGTTCCTAAAGGCCCGGTCATACATGGAGGACGCACGGCCAGCGCATTGGAAATTTGCAATTTTGGCCAGTGCGTTGTCGTTCGCTAGGTGTGCGCGTGATCATTCGATACTTGTTCGTTGAGCACGCTGGACCAACGCTATGCATTCGTTGTCATTCGCTGTGTGTGTCAGGATTTTTGAGCATGCTCAAAAGTGTGTGCGGAACTTGACGCATGAATGTTCACGCCAAAGGACGCCAGACATGCACGAAGCGCTAGACCAATGCCAGACATACGCGGAGCACACGCCCTGTACATGCGCAGTGCTAGCAACACGCTTTGCATTAGGTGTCAGCTCGCTAGCTTCTCCCAAATCCTGACAAAAGTCGGGCTCACAACTTTTTTCTGATTTTCAATGCGCCGGCCGTGCGTCGTCTATGTGTGACCAGGCCATAATAGTGGGGCAAGTCTAATAAAGTATTGCAACAGACTCACCATTTGCTTGTTTTTGGAAGTGATTTAACAAAAAGTACACACATACAAGTCTTTCCTTGCCTCCATATAAAACCACGAAATAAAAAAGAAGATAATTGAACTTGTTGCCCAAACCACCTATCATTTATTTGTGTTTACATTATTACTTCTATCAATTTCCTAGCAAGATGCAGTTCCATTTCTAAAACACTTGACAGTAAACTTTGATCTACTAAATTGCCAGCCCACAAGTTACAAGTTGTATTATGGATAAAAGACAAACATACATGTGTGTGCAGTCATATTTTCTCTTTCTACCCATTAATGCTGTATTTTAGCATGCATTCCAACAAAGATAATGTGACATTTGCTTGTAGCATTTCATCCCTGGTCAAACAGAAAGAAAAAAAGGGGTGGGGGTGTCAAAGATGGTGCTGCCTTTTTCAACCAACCAAACTATTATTTTATATGTTTTAAATTTAAAGGTCATATTTACATTTTCACAAGAGAAAAGTTCTGAAGAAGATAATTTTCCTTTGTATTTCTTGTGTTTGAGATACGTGAGCTCTAGATGGCGCTGTCCTGTTAGCATCAATCATACAGGTCACGTTGAATCATCCTCTCCATCTTAAATGGGCAAGCTTGGAGTGTTTACTCTATAGCCAAGCTAATTTGTGAGTCAATTAACTGTAATGCATAATTACGCTCACACGCTACCCATCGACAATCCTCTCCTTCCCAACCGAGTTATGAAGTGAATTTATGTATTCCATTGAAGAAGCAATATGGAGGCAACCTTCTTGTGGGCATCATGGCTGATGCACACGTTTTAGTCGGTACTCAAGAACTCATCTCATGTTACTCTACCATGCGCCCTCGCTCACCTTCCACACGCTAGGGTTTATTGATGAGGTATACCTCATTTATATTCATGACTCAAGTGTCATTATTGATTTGCATATCAAGAGCTTTTCATCACTCTGTAATGTAATAACATCAGTTTTATACCACTCTCTACAAAACTGCTTATAGATTCCAGAAAAATAGAAAAAATTCATGAAAATAAATGGAAGATAATAAAATATGTGTTTCTTAAGTTTGACTGGCTTTATTGAACTATAGCAAAAACAAAAACCACCAAACTTCAACTTTTCATCACTCAACAAGAGAGTAATATGTAGGTCTACTTTGAATGACGTTTCTTTTTGTGTGTAAGTGTGTAGAAGGCTGTACATACATGTAGACTGCTGCCATCTTGTGTTCAAACAAGAATATTGTAGGAATTAGACTAGACCACAGGAAGCAAAATCTTACTCTAAGCTTTGGTTATGGCTGAATGTTTGAATTTTTTCAAAAGAATCTGGAATCATACTGGAAAAAAAGATAGGGTAAAAAATAATAATTGTACTTTCTAATCTTAATTACTCCTCTGTATCTTTGCTGATGCCCAGTATGTGAAAGATGTACAGGTTACCTCAGCAAAAATCTTTTTTTTGTGTGTGTCTGTACAGTTTGAGTGTGTGTATCGAAGGCTCTATCATTTGTAAATTGCTGCCATCTTGTGTTCAGTAATGAATATTACATGTACATACATGTATATGAATATAATTAAGAAGTGTAAAAATCTGTTATTAGGAGATCTATATGAATGTTGAGTAAATTATACATTCAACAAAATGAAAAATGGAATAAAGCGTATGTCAGAAATAATGGTACATAATTGATAATACACATAACTTACATACATTTAATGTAATTTTGATTTATCTTTTGTCTAATAGATGATGTCTCTCATAAGTTCCAAGCTACAGGCAGAAACTGAATGGCTAGAAGAAAGAGAACGAGTGAGTAATTCTTATTATTCATTCCACTTGTTATTAATGAGTCTCTACACATTTTTGTGGCTCTACTCTCTTAAAAAAAGAAGAGTGAATTTCCACTCTATTTTCACTTTCTTGGGAGTGACGTCCGTGATCACTTGTTTAGGAGTGAAAATCGATTGATTTTAGAGTGCTCTCTAAGAAAAAAAGAGTGAATGTTCACTCTATTTTCACTACATTTCCACTCTCCAGAGGAGTGACGTCCGTGATCACTCGATTTTTTTTAGAGAGTACTACACCATAGATCCATGTTTTAACAAATTAAGTTATCTTCTTTATTTTAAAACTCTCAAATCTTCTCTCACAATGCATTTTTAGCAAGACATACATTCATATTTATCTTTGTAGAATGTTCATCTAATAATCTGAGTGATGGTTACGTGAAGTTCATTTATCTTTGCTTGATTCTTTTAGTTTTTGTTTGAATGTTTTTCCGCCTTTTTCCTCTTTTAAATATAATCCATCTTAACACTAAAAGTAAGGCAGTCAAAAAACTGCCTGAATTGTGAGACTTCCACATGTTAATTCATTCTTTTCTCTTTTCCCCTCTTTTGATTTCTTATAATTTTTGTCCATTAAGCATTCATGAGAGCACATTATCATAGTATGAGAGGAGACTGGAGGTCAGAGGGATATTTGAGAAACAATGTTCCTCTATGTTAATTACAATGACCTCCATATGGCTTAGGGTAATTTACTATTGCTGGATTCTGTAACAGGTGACAAAAGAGTCTGGAGGCTATAGACCACACAGTATGCCTGGGAAATTGGTAGGGATTTAGAACATAATGAGAATTAATGAACCAGGAACCATTAAGAATGTGAACATTAAAACTGGGCTCATGTGAGTGCTAAAATCATAGAAAACATGCCCATAAATTTGAAAGTAAACCACCTGAGATTGATTGAAATCAATGACTTTAGAATAACAGCCATCTCTTCAGTGATTGATTGAACTCCTTTCTCAGCAGAAATATTGATACAATAGAATCATGCAGTATATAATATAAGTATTAACTTCATGAAATACCAGGTATTCTTGTTCACTCTGTGTATGAAATTAAATTTAACTACTCAAAATCATTTTTCAGTCTGTGCAATTACAGTTTGATTAACAGAAAATTCAGATTACCTTTAAAGGTATTATGTAACTTTAACAAAATTTCCTGTAGAAAATAAGTCATATAGGCGACTGTTATCTTCCCTTATACTAAATGTAGATTACAGTTCTTAAAACTCTCAGGGTTGTTTTCATGCTTTAAATCTTAAAATAATAAATAATCACCAACTTTCACACCCAATTCAAAATAGTACCTTTGGGCAAAGCAAATATTCATTCAGACAGGCATCTTCAAACTAAAACCAAGAAGGGAAACAATTCAGTGAAGTATTTGTGTGCAATTGGTAAGTTGCCTTTCTTATAGATAACCATTTTCTTTCTATGCAATCTGTATCAACATTCTAGTACTATGGCTATAATCTCCACCCATTATTTCATTTGTATCAGTCCTAAGCTGTGTTTTGAAGAAGTTCTTTAGAACCCAAAGTCCTTGAAACAGTATACAGAAGAAAAACAGATATGTGGTCAAAAGTGGTAGAATCCCCACAAACAAAAAACAGTGAAAATTGCTTTGGTATAGACTTACTTTTTAATGAGCATTAGCATCGAGGTAGGCCTAAAATAATTAATTGCATTGAGAAGTAGAGAACAATGATGTATGGGACAAAAGGTATTTTGTTTGCCTGAATCTCAGACATTCTGACACTCTAGACAATAGTTTAGGAGGCTTCTTTTTTTAAAGCCGAACTTTCACACTTACTTGCTCTGGACAGTAACATGAGATTTTAGAATTGTTGATGAGGATTAGTAAAAACTAGATGGGAGACTTTTGTATGAGGAATTTTAAACTAAGTATTGGTTTATTTGAGACTGAAATTCTAAGCAAAATAAAAAAACATTTGTAGATTTTTAATTCAGGGCATGAAGTCAGTGTTTATGGGTTTTTTTAAAAACTTGATCCTTATGTAAATATTTTGAAATTTTGGGATCCAGACTGAAACTTTGGGTGCCCATGTGTCCCAGGCGTCTGTTAGTGTCAAGCCCTGTTCAATGGTAATTCACAGTCTTCAGATAAATCTCAAATGGCAATGTTGCAAACAACATATATTTTTAAAGACTTTCATCTAATGCTTATTATGTGTTAACTCCATGGTCAAATGTATTCTGCACATGTTTGAAAGTCTGCTTTCAATTTCAGTCACAGTATTGATCTTGTTGATACTCACATACTCAGAAACATGATCTGTGACAGAGTTGATGTTTGTTAGCTTTCGGTTAACATACCTTTTCCTACATGATACGATCATAGATTGTAATCATTCCTAATCCATCTTGGTCTCTGGAGGTACCAAGGGATGCAAACCTTATTTCATATTTTCAAATATTCCCTAGTAAGGTGACTCAAAACAATGTGCAAGAAACATGTTCAGCAAAGACTATCTAGAATAAAGTAATATTAATCAAAAAGCATCCTTAGACATTTAGCCCTATAGAATGCCCTCAAATAGCATGGAGGGAGACAATTGATTAATGTTCTTATTTGTATTACTATGACGATTGCAGTCATATCAATATATTCATGTATATTTTCATAAGGTTAGACATATCAGGCATTTCATCTTTCAACACAATGAAATTTAGGCCTATATGTACATACAAAAGAAAATGTTTATGATTTAATATGGCAATTCAAATGTGTATATAAAATTGTGTGTGACACAATGGAAGTTTGCTCATGGAAGGGACAGACCGAAGAGATAGAAAGAGAGGAAGAAAGGGAAAGAGAGAGAGAGAGAGAGAGGGGAGAGAGAGAGAGAGAGAGAGAGAGAGAGAGAGAGAGAGAGAGAGAAAGGGTTACTTTACTTTCAAGATATTGTTTTTAGTCATAACAATTGCACAATTATTTTTCCATTCCTAATGAATCCTAGTTTTGTACTTTCAGTATGATGTGGGTTTTGTGTCCAGAAGCTTATACAAATTTAGCCCTCTCTTTTATCTTTAGAGTTAACACAATATATGCATCAAATAAAATATTTGTCCTTTATGATATGGTCCAACATACGTCTTAAATTGTTTATGAAATAATGCTTGTCCACTTCTTCATATTCCCGTTTGAATTCATCTGTCTGGATAACCAACCTGTCTGAACACATGGCGTGTGGGTAACTGGGTTTATTTCAAATTAAATCAGTTGCATCTTGCTTCTTAACTCATGTTTTCATTTATCAAAATGGACTTCATCAAAATTGGAAATCTTGTAATTGCAGTTTGAGTGAGAAGATATAAGGCACTCCTTCTAACCCTGCAGCATACGTTAAGCCTTGGTCTATCCCGATACTCACCGTGATATGATCAGAAGTCAAGATAACAAACATGGGATAGTTGTCTACTTTTGAAACTTCTCCTAGTGACATATGTTCTTTCCTCTCCTAATTGTCTAAATGCGTTGGCAATCTTTGTTAGAGTTCAAACCCACGCACAGGTGACTCTCGCTCATCCGCACCAGTAAACCTGGAGGAAAAAATGACACTAATGAGAGGAAGCACTTTTATTCACCCCATTCCATGTTTTCTTTTAAAAGAATCAAATTGTTCTTCATTTCCAGTCGCGAAAATTGGGAATTTGTCTCTTTTTCTCTATAATTCATCATTGTAACTTTTCATCAGCGCTGTTGATTTGTTACTTTCGGTTTCTACCAAGTGAATAGGCATTTTAATGCAAAACAGAACCATCTACATGTATGAGTAATAAAATAGTTCATTTCCCCCAGAAATTACCACCTTTTTGTTTCCAGCAACAAACATGCCTGCAGGAGTATTAGGCACACACAGAGTTCAGTTTGTATTGTGAACTATGACAAAGAAAATGCACACAAATTGTGATTATCCACAATTTAGGATGAAAGAAACACAGAAATGTATCGGTTATAAATGACACATTATTTAACAGAAATTTAAGAGAAAACATCACAATGACCTGCTTTGAATGTTGCACCAACTGGAATTTTGCTTTTCTTTCATTACGGTACTTATTCATTGTATTTTCAATATACAGTTGCAGCAGCTTTTGGATCAACATGAGAAACAGAATGCGATTTTAACTGACCAACTAGAAGCCCTCAAGAAACATGACCTGAAAATAGATGTAAGTCCATTCAAGGAGACCATTCTGTTCCATTCAAACTTCTAAATATGTGTCAACAAATTTCATTAATGAACTTGCTAGACCCATATTTTGAGTTTTCATTCATTGTTTCACTGCTAAATTTGGCATGAAATAAAATAGTACATTAGCAATATTGTTTTTAAAAAAATTTAAACTAGACATTCTTATTCCCAACAAATTGTACTTTAAAACATTATTTGGCAGTATTTGCCATCCATGCCATTGAGGTAGGAGCGGTTCTTGGATATCTTTTTGGGGGGTTGGAGCTCGAGGGTTCTTGCATTTATTTTCTGCATTTACATCACATCTTGGAGGAGCTTTAAGAAATTGGTTGGGAAGGTTTGAGTCTTGTGGCAAGACATTCTACATTTGCGCATAGGGACGTTATATAATGTACAAGAACGGATTATTATTACTATATGAACAACATTCTATTTCCACATCAATCAGAATGCAGAGATGGTGACCATGTGGTGTTTATTTTTGTAACATGTCATCTTTTTCACTTTTCTTTTCTATCAGGTGGTTAATCAACGCCTTGATCAGTCTCTGAAGGAGATGGTAGAGCTGAAAGAAACAAATAAGCAGCTGAACCTTCAGATAGAGCAGCTCCAAGAAGTTGAGAACAATCATGCTGCAACATACCAGGAGAGGATCCACCAGGTAGAGGGTGAGAAGGAGATGTTGGAACTAGAGCTTCAGGAAGTCCAGCAAAGACTGCACGAGTTTGAGCTACGGGTAAAGGTCTTAGAGGAAGCATTGAGTGCTGTAGGTCAACAAACCAAAGAGAGACATTCTGCTAAGTCCAAACTGAGGCAACAACTTGAACAGGTTAGCAAGGAGATCATAAGCTACCAACAACAGATCATGGAACTAGAAGAGTTGGTGAGTGATCTAAAGAAGGAGCTTCAAGACAGGACCAATCAACGGGATCAAGAGACCTCTACCAAGGAGAAGTTGTTGATCTTCCTGCAGCAGTTACAGGAGGAATGCAGGAGACTCAAGGAAGAGCTTGCTTCAAGACAACCAGATAGGCAAGCTACTCAGGAGAGAGTCGGATTCAGGGAGTTTGTCGGGATGAGACGAGAGTTGAACATTCTTAAAGATGAGAATGATTGGTTGAAGCAGAGTAGGAAGAAACCCAAGTCATTACCAAGTCTGAAAGGACCAAGTCCTGATGGCTACCTCTCTGCTGATTCTAATAATTCAAGAACTCTCAGACAATCTAAATCAGAGACCGCTGTCCGGGTCTATAAAAGATAACAAGAACAAAACAGTTTAGTAGTTTGCTTCTACCCAAGAAAGTACCTCGGAAATATAGTATTTTGACAGAAATCATATAGATATCAAATGTTTTGTAAATCATTTTTGTTCTTGTGTCACGAAATTGATAATCGACATGTACATGTATGCAGGGCTAACAATTCACTACATTGTAGTCTTTGTTATTTATAAGAAGTGATTTTTTTATGTGGTTAAGAATACTTAATGATCATATAGCTACATGAATGCGTATGAAGGGATAATACAATCAGACATGAACCAAAGACAGTCTTTGTCTCAATCCTGAGGGTTTTGAAGGTTGTCAAGGTTTTTGCAAATGTATTTTATTTTTTAAATAATCAACCTCTTTTCACTAAAGTGATTTAAAATGTGCAACATGTAAGACAATTGTTTTAGGAAGAATGTTGTTGATCGATGTTTCGAAGGGGTGAATGTCTCAGAGCACTTTTAAATTAATTTATTCAATGCATTCTGTGCTTTATCAAGATTCATTTTTAAATGTCAGTTTTAAATTTATGTGTCAGCTTTGTTAATGCTATTATTGCTATTATTATTGTTATTATTATTATTGTTGTATTTTCTTTGTATCGGTATCCTCGAATGTATTTATATATTGTTTATGTTGTTTGTATTTGTATTCATGTATGTACGTCACTCGCCAGTGGAGGACAAATTTCTGTATTTTTTTTTAAATCAGACAATAAATTATCTTGAATCTTGAATCTTGAATTCTTGATTCCACTTTTAATGTTTTTGTATGAATCATGACTGAATTTTAAAGAATACATTTCTACATTTTCATTTCTTGAACAATGTACATAGCATTAAGATATTATCCCTTTGGGAGAATAAAACCCCCACAGCTGTTCAGCAAATGTAATATCACATTATCCATCCAAATCATGTGTATTTGTCATTTGTGCCTCTTGAATGGAAATCAAGCCATTTTGAATATTTTAATAAGTCTTCTTTCATGTCTTTGTTTTGTGTACATTGTTAGGATATATACAATGTAACTATTCATAAATTATGAGAGTATGATGCATTCAGTTGTTGTCAATATTTGATGTGTTTGTTTATGCACTTGTTTTATCGTGACCAAAGGATCCCCTAGTAGCCATGAAATAGTTTTTTTTTTTAGCATTAATATCAAATTGAAGTATTATTATTCCAGAATCTGGCTTCCATTGTAATAAAAAGTGCAATATATTTGATACTTTCTTCTTGATATTTGATAATTTACATGTTATATAACATCAATCGTTGTGTGCAGAAAATTCCTATGTTTTTTTGAGAAATATTGGGCTTTGTGTTTGCTTAGGGTATGTTCCTGCCTACTAATATATCACTTACTTTTTATCAATTTGTGTCATATGATCCACACACACTAAAAGTTCAATGGTACCTTAAAATTTAAAGTATTAAAACATAATGTTAATGTCCACATTAGTAGAACTACTTTCTTGAACCTAATCATTTATCACTGACTATTCTGTTATCTTTTGCTTGTATTATAATTTGTGTACTGTATATCATTTCAGTGCATAGATGTACTAAAGAACAGGTTTTCAGACTGAAGTAAGTAATAAATAGACGAAGGACGGAATGAGTGATTAAGCATGATAGGTTCAGTAGATTCATCATTTATACATAGAATGTTTGCATGGAAGCACATTGATATGGTGTATGGTTCTAATGATCTTTATTTCACATGAAAGAGATATTGCTACCCAACCCAATCTATGTCAATGAAGCTGCTCAATCTGTCAGGTTTACAGAAAAGTTTTGAATTAAATAATTAAATAATGAATAAGGGAACATTATGAATATGATTTATTTTTGTCATATGACGTACATGTAGTGAATTATAATTAAACCTGTTTCTACATAAAATGTACACTTCTATATCTTAATGTGATACCATACAGGAATCAATGCTTTATTAATGATGGATGCCTGCTAGACACATGTGTGTCATATCTTGATCTAATATTTATCATTTTGATGGATAGGTGCTTTCCTCTGCCTTAGCTTACCTCTGAGTCAAAATGGGGCCTAAGATGCCCCCTTACTCAGGTAAACCTGGCTGATTAACAAGCACAAAGTCTTCCTTTTAATACTCTCAGAAAACGCCCAAAGCATTAGCTCAATTTACTGAATGCTTATGTGAAGAGAATATGCACATTTGTCATACTTAGTGATTCCAGCCTGCATACCATCATCTTAGGATTGGATGTGGAGAACATAGAGACCCTGTATGAAGTAAGAGATGAGCCAGTATAGAATTTGAGAGGAGAAAGGTGGAAGAGAGCAAAGAGCAGTACATTAAAGAGAAGAAAAAGAGGGGGAGATGGAGAGAGACAGGGAGATGGAGAAAGAGATAAAAATATAAAAATATCGAAAAACTATCAGGTTAAAAACTTCAGGAGTGGTAAGCAAAATTGTGTTTAATTAGTAGATTAATTTTGCAGATTAATTAATTCATTCCGTGAATCGGTGTGATATTAGCAATATTTAATGAAAGAAGAGATAATGGTATATTGGATGTATTTTTTTAAAACATCACATCCTCTGTTCTGCTGACAGTTAAAACCCATCCCAAATTAGATAGTTTAGTAACTGTACAATATCTTTATCCTATCAACCTAGTTTTCGATGTTATTAATTGTCTTTTGTTTCTACCAGCCCGCATCCTGTCTAATCTCTTCAGCGTCCCAACTCTCCATTAAAAATCTTGTTCAAGTTTAGCCATCTTTCACCGGAGTACCAGGATTCTTGAGAAGTAATTGAACTTAAATCCGTAAATTGCCCCAAACTGCGTCCACGTTCCTCTGCCTTTATCCTATTAGTGGTCCTGACTAAAAGTTAGAAGAGAGTCCACTTAGTGCAAGTCTCTCTGTTTCCATTAAGGTAGCAAGCGCCTGTCATACTGTGTCATACCAGCTTCAACTATTATGGATTACCTTCTTAATCAAAGAGCATTTCCGAACGTATTACGATGTATTCCTAAAGAACTTCAAGCAAAATCAGTTAAATAAATATTTCTATACATTCAGCATAATGTCCTCTACAATTAGGTCGATGTTACGATGCGCTGTCAATTACCTCACGCACGTTGAAAGATAGAAAGATGAAATATAGGAGCACACATGTAGTCAGGTACGCTGAGCAAAATGCTATTTCAAATGGATTTAAGTTGAACTCAGGTACGAGGCAAGGGAGATTCATTTCGAGTATTAAGAAAAGTTATAGGGATTTTAATCAATGAAAGTAAATTCCTGCTGGATTCGACTCCTTCACGTTTATTTTCATTAAGTGAAATTGAAGTTGGGTATTCTTGCTTAATCACTCACAACGGATGCAAATGAAATCAATTGAGCGAGAACTGTGTGGATGATATTGAATAAAACAATAATATGTGATGCAGGGAAGAATTCAATTGCAGTTGATGTTTATATTTACTCTGTTTTAATGAAGTGGAGTATGTTTGAGGGGTGGTGAGGAGGTAACTGACCGGGTCAGTTAAACGATGAAGGAGGCCTATATTCGGGCAGTAAAATATATAAAGATAAAGACATCTAGAGTGAAATATAATACATACATGTATGTATACATATATATAATATGAGAGAGGGAGAGAGAGAGAGAGACATACACACCACAGGGCGGGACTACCCATGAGATGTACCCCCCCTCCCCTCATTTATATACACCACTAATTTTGCCATTGCCCCCATATGCAGTAAATCGTTGACTTCCGATATAACATAAAACCAAAGTTGGACATGAAAGATGAGACATCATTACTAAAAAATAAAACAAAAATTCCCCTCAGCTTTTGTTTATACTGAACAAAACCTACCCCACGAGATACACCCAATGCAATAATGCATGAAAATAGGCCTTAGTATAGCGCAATATAGAAATACTGGGAGAACACAGAGAAACAAATCATTTTTTTAAAATACAAATCCCCTCAACGACTGGATCGGAAGGAAGAGAATGTTCAATAATTTTATCAAGATGAGCGCCCTCTGTTTCTTTTATATTAAAAACATTTCGCCAGTTATTTGTTTGTTTGTATTGTTGATGTAGGTATATAGGCCTACAACCGCTCGTTGTATTTTGTAAATAGAACTTATATAATCTAATATACGGATCCAGAGGTGAAATACCACCCCCCCCAAAAAAAACAAAAAAAAAAACAAAAAAAACAAACAAACAAACAAACAAACAAAAAACAAAAAAACGAGAGGGATGATATTTTCCTCTATAGGCAGTGAAAAGGGACTTCCCCTTTGGATTATGTACAGGGCCACCGGGATTTCAATGCGTGGAGAAAAAAAAAAGTAACTACATTTTTTTTGTTCCAAACCCCAATGCGAACACACTGAAATAGATCGAAGTCAAAGTCGGGAAAATCCCCCAACACACCCAGCCCATCGAACAATTCTGAATATGACTCTGTCTGTCGCTGCCAACAACTTCTAATCAGGATAATAATACGAGACCACAATCTAGAGTAAATTATGGCAAAAGGTTTTAAAAAAACATTATGGGCAAAACTGAAACTCCATAATATATACTAAAGCCTATCAATTTATTGTCATCAGTAAAAAACACAAAATAATGAAGACCATACGTTTGTCTTAAAATGTAAAAGATGGTCGCTTTTAAATGCATCTATTCAACACTCATTATGAGGATCAATTTTCTTCTTTACGACAAAGTGGAAGAAATGATTTAGGTATGACTAAGAATAGGTTATTCACTCTTGTGATTCGCTGTTCGCTTAAAACTAAGTATAGAAAACAAGTCGAAATGCTAAGTTTAGATCCGCAGAAGCATAATACAGATACGTTAAGCAATGTAATATCAACTCGAATAAACACTTCAAGTCCATCTTCAAAAATCTTTCTCCTTCCACCAAGAAGTTATTCCTTGCTTAGAATCTCTTTAACAATCACATCCTCGTAATTTGGCAGTCGAGTCTACGTGTTACCACGGAATGCACATGACTTAATTAGGAACGCACCATCGCCAAACGCTTCTGCCTTTCAACTCCTCAAATTCAAGAGAAGAAAGCAGACAAATTTGGAAGTCAAGGCAAAACGAGATGGATGAGGGAAAAAAAATCATTCTCACTATTTAGCGATTCCATTTACATCATTTTACAAGTGGATAATTTGCAATAGAAGCGAGATGGATTGATGATGTTTGAAGCGTAGTGGCTTGAATTCTTTCACTCGTCTTCATGGTCAACAAGCCAACTGAAAAGAAACAAAGGTGTTCCTTTTTTGTATAACTTTAAAGCTAAAAGATTCTGAATAATCAATACCAGCTAACCTGTCAATGTTCGTTATAGCGGTGTTGTTAATCGAAAGGAAATTACTTGAAAAATCCAGGCATTGGAATGG